TAAATAGTTGGTAACATTTCTTTTGCAGGACAGCAGCAGATTTTACGTTGCCCAGTGGAAACAAGGTGACCAAGGCGTTGCCAAAGCTGGTTTACAAATTAAGGTCAGTTTGATAATATTTCACTTCAATTTTATCACTTTAGCATATACATCAAAACAAATACAGTTGTAAATAAATCTAATTTATTAGAACTCTGAATGAATAAACATCAAAAATTTTATGTTCCTTACAAATTCGTTGTAGGTTTAAATATAATTACCCGATCGACGGCGCATTAATAACACCTTCTTGTATACTATGACAAACAGGTTGTTGAAACTGTAACTGGTCCTTCGAAAGAATTATCTGATGCTTTGTGGGCGGGTTCAAGTGTAGAAGGCCAAGCTAAACTCATCTATATTGACCCAGAAAATACGGGATGGAGTGATAAAACGTCATACCGATGGGAATTGATTCACAGACCTTCAGTTGGATACATCAAGTTGAGAATATATCAAGGAAGCTCATTGGTATATTGGCTATATGTTCTGGTTAATTTCCACACAGGGTGCAACCAGAAAAATTCAGTTATGAGCTTGTGAGTGCTAAAGAAGCGTGCACTCTTCTTTTTCGTGTATTTTCAAATTTTTGCATATAAAAAATTTCGAATACTGCATGAAACAATCGAAATTTTTATTCTGAAAAATATATTATATATATAAAACAGCGCTCATCATATAGCTCAGTTCTGTCTAAATATCCCAGCAGCAATGAATAATGATTCAAAAAACCTTATAAATATTTTTCTATGCATTTAGTTGACTGATAGTGGAGTAGTTATCGATGGAACGTTGAAAGGCGGAAGACTAGGTGTTTTCTGTAATTCACAACAGAACATCATTTGGTCAGATCTTATGTACAGATGCAATGGTGAGTCAATCAAGTCAAGTTTCGTATTTATAAAATATGCTGTGCAAGATACTCATACCAAATCCGTACAAGTCGAATGAACAAAAAGAGGTGCTCCGGTAGTATGTGTACCAGGTTGGGGTTGGGCCAAAATTTCATTGCGATTTTCTTATTTTAGTTATATTACGAATTATGGGACTGTCTGTGGTAGCCAAGTGAATAGAACCCTACCCATAAGTTTCAGTCCATTCACACAATTTTATGTAAAATAGGCGAACAAAATTAGTTACCTCTATATTGGTACACATACTTCTGGAGCGCCCAAAAAGCAGCACTTCAAAATAATAATTTAATTTTGAATTCCACCATAGTTCAAACAAAGACAAATGGCTCTATGTACCTAATAATTAGAAGTAGCAAATACATAAATCTTCAATTTACAAGCATAGCGAGACGTGAATTAAATGTTCGCATATATATTTTCGGAAACACTGCCATTTGATTATCAGAGCAGCTAAACATTGACGCTGGGGCGGATGGAGAAGAAAAAGAATTGAAAATTGTTTCGTAAAAATTCTCAATGAATCTTTTTGACGTCGCAATTTAGTATTCACAATGTTCAATGATAATTTTTTTTTTCAAATAGATAGATAAAGATTGAAGATGAAATAATAAAGCTTCTCCAAATATGAATATAATGCTCGATTTATTTTTATTATATTTTTCTCATCGATAATTCATGCAGAAATAGTATATCAATGGGGATAAAAGAAGACAAATACATAGAAACTTTTATGCAGTCTATTAAAATTTGATAACAAACGTTGAGTTAAGAGGTGATGTCGGAGTCAACCTTTTTTCAAACCCGAGTCCAGAAGTCAATTGTGAATTTTCCCGACGACACAGCAATGTTCTTAAAGCAAAGTATAAAAAACAAATAAATCCTAGAGCTGCAGCGTAATTCCTTACGTCCGTTGACTACAAGCTTATAATAGCTGTTCGCTTCGCTTCAGGTCACTCAGCATTATCAAACAAAAACTTAACTCAGTTGAAGTGCATTCATAGCGGGCTGACCGAACCAGTTTTATTAAACATATGTTTCATTACAAAGTCTTTTTTAAAGATATTTAAATTCAAATCTAAATTGGGGGAAATAAATTGTATCATAATACAAATAATAAGTTTATTTACGCTTACCGGGCAACCAAACTAAGCTTAAGTAACAGTACAGCTTCCCATGGGATGTGAAAGAATCGTCGTAACCCTGTAAAACGCAGTACTCGGAGTTTATTCGAACAGACTTGGCGAAACACTTTTTAAGGCAAATGTGTATGACTGTTAGTAACCAATTGGAAATAAATATAGACTGCATGGCGTATAAGTATGGTATGGATATACAACTGAATTAAAAAAGAAAGAAACTTAAATATAAAATTTCATTTCAATTTCAAAACGTGTTGAAATACATAATTCTAATATACGAGAAGGCCTACTTCTGCTTCTTTGAAATGGACACTCTAAATCATATAATTATCTGTTGAATGAATATAATATTCATATAATACAATTTCATGAGACACACATGATAAAATCTATTCATGACTATGCCAAAATGAAGCTCATCTCGTACCGTTAATACACTAATTCTAACTTTTGTTGTCCATGACGTCCACCATTAGCATGAAAGCCTACATACATGTCATCATAACAAGAACACTGTTTACCGGCTGGTCGATAAAAATGTTCCTGATTTGGTTGTTTATATAAACTTCACCTTTGTCGGATTCAAGAAGAGTTAAAGAATTTTGTCAATTTGTTTGTATACATGTCATGCATCCGACTGTTTCATGCGAGTGTTTTTTTGGGAGTGGGTTTGGGCAACAAATCACAACACCAATTCCAACTGATTCATCATCGATGGTCAAGTTATATGACTCCTCTGTCGAACATTTGCATGACCACTTTTATTCATGCCCTATATGCAGGGATTCCATCGATCTGGAACCAAAAATAACGACGACGTTCTTACGTTTGCTCATTTTTAAATTTAAGCTAAAATAACCACCACCACGACAAAACCCAAGAATCGCCACATTAACAATGCTTCATGCCTATCTGTGCCTTGCTTCTTTGAGTTCCAAATAAGACTGTGATGCTTTTATGATGCCACCATAAAGCTTTGGCGATAAGACAAACAACACAAAGCTTCTTTTATAAAGTCCAAACAAGACAAAATAAGGAAACGCAAGCCAAAAATAAGGACGCAGGCTAAAAATAAGTCAAAAATAAGGACAAACCTCAGAAATAAGGACGGTATGGAATCCCTGCTTATATGACACGTTGATGTACGCAATCTATTCTCTCATTATTAATCGCTGGAAAAATCTTCTCGATTACGAAACGATAAATATCACTTGCAAGCTATGAACTGAATTTGTTGTTATCGAATTGTCGGCTTAACGATACCGGTGCGTTTTGTCATACTTAACCATTGGATTGTGATGCGAAGACATACATTTGTGATTTCTACGAGGCAGTATCCATGTCACAGCAATTTGATTACGCCAGAATACCCCTTACCCTAAGTAAAGTTTTTATACTTTTAGAGATATATACTTGATTAATAGATACATACATATAGTTTTGTTTTGTTCAAAATCACGATTTGTCGCGTCAGTTAACAATTAGTATTTACTGTTGTCAATGATTAATAAAAAATGGGTTACAAGAAAACACAGAAAAAACAGCAGGCAAGTATGTCCCATGGACAAGCCTGCATTCTGTACTCTAATTGTTTTTACAGATCCCTCAATTCATCGTCAGAAAATAACATCCATCGTACAATATTGAGAAAATTCGTAGGGCTGAAAAATGCTTGGCAAACCTCCAAATATATATTGACATTCCCCCAGGCGTGTGCCTCTTTGTCACGATCGTTCAAACTGTATACACCTGGTGGAATGTAAACTTACTAATGCTTTTGTGAACTCGATGATATTAAACGAACGATGTGTTTGGTATTTTTACTACTATCCAATTATTACTATCACTGTCCTGAGGCCAATGTGATTAGGGGAATATGATCCACGGGGCGTTGATACCGTAGTTATGTTTCGGTCAACAAATTTATAATATTCAATGTTCAAAATTGTCGATTCTGTCAGAGAGTGTGGATAGTTTGCCAAACGACGCCACAGAGAATGAATCAGCCGAGTGCTTTTCTACCACATGTTACTTTCACTTTCAAGGAAAGTTTTTGAAAATTTATATTTTAGTTTCTTAAATTTTCTTAAAAAATGTGAAAACCAACAACAGCGATGTTTACTCTCATCAATAGAATAGAGGGATCGCATGAGATGAAAAGTGTTTTTTTGAATATAGTACATGAATACCTTACTAGTATACTGAAATTCCGCTCTGAAATTAATAAGCATGATACAACCGATTGTGATTGGAACGACCGCCTCCAGGTAATTCTGCTTATATGCAACAATATTCACGATAAATTATTTAAAATCATATATTATTCGTGATTGAAACAGATTAAGATCATTTATTCGTGATTAATACGGTGCAGAAAATTTAGATTATAAAGTGTCGCATTTCGTACTGGTTTTACTCGATTAATGCGATGCATATACGATTTGGATAATTGGTAATGAAGTTATTTATTGCGTATGAGGAGTTTATTTCTTTAATTCCCGTTTCATTTTCACGGGAGGGAACGCTGCGTCGTGATTTAGTTTTGTCGCAGGTGATCGGAAGTGTTTTCTTGATATATATTAACCTCATTATACCTGAACATCGCAGTACCGGTGCTGTATAATTTAAATAAACTGCTGCGATTTTCATGATGATAATAAATTGTGTGCAATAAAAAAGCTTTCTAAACGTGTGTAAATTAATTATTATGGAGAATATTCGATGGTCAGTAATTGGAAATTAAAATTATTTTCATATTTTATTATACTTATTGTTGTTTTAAAATCGTTTATTTTTCTAGCTTATTAGTGTGTTTTTTTAGTTTATTTACAGCGTACTAATACTCAACGAGCATTAATTTTACTTTTTCTTTCATTTTCAGTTTATTTTGAATTATAAATATAACGCTTTGTTTAAATTTATGGATCTTTTGTACAAAGCCCCGTCACTTATGCCAAAATGTGAGATTTGAGAGAAAAAGACCCCGCCACGTCACGTTTTAAAAACTGGGGTTACTAATTTTCTTATTTTGAGTGTTGACGGGGTGCTTTTTTGCGGGGGATTTGTACAAAATATCCAAATTTATTCATAGTTCGGCCCATGCAATTAAATATTGGATTGTTTACTTTCTATAAGTATGTAATCTGCCATTTATGTAAAACCTACCACGATAGTTCTATAATATGAGGTTCTTGGTAATTTTATTCGCTGTCTAACATATAAGAGAATCATAGAAATTTATAGTACCAATTGATTTAAAAATCAATTTTCGAAGAAAATATTCGAAACCACGTTGGAAACTACTCAAAATAGAGCAGTTATTCAAGATGACGCTCAAACCGAATACAATGAAGAAATCCAACATATTTTCCTATATCACTTTCTGGTGAGTTGTTGATCGTTCAGTAAATACGTGTGAATAACCGTACTAGAAGTTGTTTATTATGGCATTGAATCTAAGGTGATAGTTTTAAATTGTTTGCACTGAGAGCGGAGGTTTTTCAATTGACATAAAATATATATACGTTTTTACTCCGAGTAGCTCGTGAGACAACATGAATATACGAGCAATGAAAATACCCAACAATCGAGTATCATATAACTACAAATGAAAATTAAATGTCCGACATGTTTTGTTCTAAATAGCGCATGTTGTCTCTAGATTCTTTACCTTGATTATTATCTTAATAGGTGGTTGAACGATTTATTTGCTGAAGGACGCAACCGCACGCTACAAGAAGCCGATATGTATGAACTAGATCCAAGTGATCGCTCAGAAGAAATATGTAATAAGCTGGAAAAGTAAGATAATGTTTCTAAATCTAGAACCTAATGCATGCAAGATAATGCATGCAATTTCAATATTATGTAATATATTACATATCATATTATAAGTTGGGTCGAGAATACAATGAAATAGATGAAATAAAGTTGGAAATATAGAATGTCCTCATTTTCATTGTAAAAACGGAGGCTTTAAGTCTGTAACTATGGAAAACTTTCTTTTCATTCTTAATAAAGGAATTACTACGATTCATTGAGCGTTGACAACTAAAATAAAATTCTTTCAGTGTCAAAGAAAATTTTGTTATCCGGTCAATGATTGGATTGTATTCTTTTACTAATATAAACTATTTCTGAAAAACATGCAGACACTGGGAATCAGAAAAAGAAAAACCTGGGAAAACAGGAAAACCGAGTTTACTTCGCGCAATTACGAAAACTTACGGAAACAAATTCATGGTATTAGGAACACTTGGACTATTTACGGTGAGAAATGTCTCTATAGGTGTTGATTATCCAGCCAATTATCCAGTTCCAGTCAATGAGTTGACTTTCGATCTTACAGAATATAGCAATACTAATAAATACATAAATTGGATCTGTTGTTGTTGTTATTACTCTTCTTTGTATTCCTGTTGTTGTTATTGTTGCTGTGGAAATCGCGTTTTTCTTTAGCTGCTGGACTATTTACTTCGACATTTTCAATGGTTAGGAATTGTTGTTGTCGCTAGAGGGCTATTTCTTTTATTCTTTCCCAAAATTTCTGTTGATTTTCGATTATGGGATTTGTTTTTCACTCTGAAAATATATGTTACTACCTCGATTTAGCATGTTTGTACATACATTTATTTGATCATCGCTCTCACAATATTCTTTATCAAACTGTGTTTATAAATTTGCAGGAAATTCTACGAATGGCAATCCCAATCTTCATTATACAACTCATTCGATACTTCGAAAATAAAGACACATCTCCAACATGGCACGGATACGCATATGCCGCGGCAATTACTTTTTCATCTATTATACTGCCTTTGGTTTACCACTTGTATTTTTATCAGATGCAGAGGATTGGTTGGCACATTAGGGCATCCACTTGTGCATTAATGTACAAAAAGGTAATAGGCGTAAAGTGAAGAGTAATGAAATTAAACACCGATCATCTGGACACATTTGTCTTTATATTTGATAGCGGTGAATTTGTTAATATGCTGATATGGTGTGTTTTATGATTAACCGTTGTATCGTTCTCCGGGATAATACTCTTAAAAAATTAAATAATGAAATATATTTTCTCCGTTCAAAATTTTGTTTTCATATCTGATAGATATTATCTAAATCCATACAATGTCAGATGTCTATTCCGTATGCTTGGTCAAATGCAAAACATTTGTTTATTCACAAATTTGAAAAAAATGTGCTATCCTATAATTGCACGATTTGGTTTGTTGCAACAATTGATGTATCTATCATACAGACATTGCGTTTGAGTAGACGGTCCCTCCAGCAGACGAGCACAGGTCAAATAATAAACCTTGGATCCTCTGATGTCGCGCGATTTGATTTTGTAAGTAAAGAATATTTTATGATATTCGGATAAGTTCGTGTGGTTTTATATAGCCATCTAAATAACGACACATGCCCTACAATGCAATATGTAAAAAAAATATATTTGGGTCAGAAATAGTTTCGGCAATGTAATATAAAGGCAGTGAAAATGACCTTCGATCTTTAGGTTGCCTCTATCAAGCAAACAAATTATCATAGGAAAATCAATTGTTTCGATTAGTTTTTTATTTTTATCCAGCGAGCCCTAATTGGACTCGATTTACTCGACAGACTGGACTTAAAATATCCGAATTTATCCATTGCTAATATGATTGTACCAAAGGTTTTTATATTTTAATTTATACAACACAGTTGCCAATATTTTTACATTATCTATGGATGGGACCACTAGAATGTATTGCAGTATGGTACATTCTCTGGCAAGAAGTAGGCATGGCGTTGTTAGCGGGAATAGGAGTATTTTTGTTGATAACAATAACTCAAATTTCGATTGGACGTCAGTTTGGTAAATTAAGGTACGTGTTTATGATAGAATGACCAAGTAAAAATCTTCTAATTTATTTTTGAGACACTCATTACAAGTAATTGTTTTGCAAAGCATGTTATTACACAATTGGTTAGGATAGAGTTGAGGCGTGATCAAGTATGTATATACAAAAACCTCCACCAAGAAAAGCCAGCGTATTTTTGTCATAAAATGTATGAATGAAGTATCATTGACACGTTAAAATCATGCAATCTTTTTCGGCGGTTAGTTCGAATGCCGTAGGGATAAATATGTGCGATAGGATTGCTGGACTCCTAACCATCTAAGCGTGGTTTACCTCTGTTTCGGCTTCCTACATCTACGCTTCTGAATCAAATGACCGACTAACACTAATCCCATGCCCGTTATGGAATAGTAACTGGATGAGAGCCCGTCGCACTGTTACACACTATATTTGAGTGTCTTATCCACTTTCCTCTGCCAGATATAAATATGAGAATCTCATCCTATCCACTTATGGAATGTGTATTCTAGGAGTGCAACAGCAGTTTTGACCGATAAACGAATTCGCCTCACGAATGAAGTAATTACTGGAATAAGAACAATCAAGATGCATGCGTGGGAAGAACCTTTTGCAAAACTTGTAGAAGATGCAAGAAGGTATGCAAAACTACTATAATATTACTATAGAGCAGGGGTTCTCAACAATCTTTCTGTTCAAGTACCCCCCGAGTCACGAAACAATCAACGCAAACCCCCCGAAATCATACACCGAACAAAGTTGTGATATATATATTGACTAACGATTTGTTGAAACAACAATTTATGGACCAGATATAACTAAGCTAAATCTTCATCTTGATGTTATTGCCCTTGTCCTCCGCCTAACTGAAGAATTCTTAAAATCTCTCCCAAGTTTTTATAAGCATGATCCCTTTCTCCAATGTTGCAGCACGCTGTCTTTTGAGATTTCACAATTTGCCTGCAAAACCGTGAATTTCACATTGTTGCGTCACAATCACAACAACGCAACATCAGGGAAAATCTACGTTTCAATTTGAATCTAGTTTCAATCGACACGCATTTTCCTCCGATAGTAATAATGAATAATAAAAATCAGCAACACACAAAAACTCTACTGCCGTCCAAGTACCTCTGGCAAGTACCCCAGGTTGAGAACCCCGGCTATAAAAGATACTACTCCGTGTCCGCACTTCCGTGAAATTTAGCGCGCATTAAAAGAGTGAGATCCCGATCTGCAATTCCTCAGAGGTCAATAAGCACACGATGTATTATTGTAATACCAAATTTTTGTATATTGTTAAGTTGCACAATCGAATTGAATTCAAACAGATATATTGAAATATACATTTAAACCTTAATACTGGCCAAACGGTTGCAATCCAAATCAGTAATCAGCGAACATGAAAAATCCTACATTCACTACTCCCTAATGAAGGCCGAAACACGTGACAAATTGCTCGATACAAAAAAGATTGCCAAGACTTGTCGCTATAAATCATCACCAGGGAAATAAGGCACTGGCCTAATTCACATACTATTGTTACAGAGGGGTTGAATAATAATATTAAAGTCCATAGTCACAATACACAATCGCTACATTACTACCAATACGTTCGCAGTAGTTTTAAGTATATTGTTTTATTTTAGGACCGAGGTGATGAAGATAATTCAGTCCTCTTCAATGAAAGCGTTTAATTCCTGCATATACTTTTGTCAAGAAAAACTAACGACGTTTGCCATTTTACTAACTTTCGTAGCAATGGGAGGAACAATTACAGCCTCAAAAGTACGTTATTATTTCCTTCTTATTATTTCCAAGTGTTTCGTGAAAACCAGTATGCCACTTTCTAAGCATACAATACTGTACGTTAAATAAACCATCACCTATCAAATCAGAATCTTTTCACTGGTTGCAGTTTAACAAAAATAAGACATATTAGTAATTGTAATGAAAAATATATAAAATTTCTAGCATAATAGTGCTTTTAATAAAACATTGATAATATAGTCACGAATATGCAGTAGATGAATTTAAATAATAGTATCCACTGCTAGTGGTGTTTTATCTATATTTAGGTATTTTCTATTGTTGGGTTATTGAACGCTTTGAGATTATCGACCGGAATGTTCATCTCTTTGGCTATTGAGCATACTTTTTCATCCATTGTATCCTGTAAACGTATTCAGGTGGGTCGTACTGTTAAGTTTCATTTAAGTCCCGCAGTCTCCATGTATTTCAAATCTTTCACAATATTGATTCAGATATTGCTAGTATTTTTACACTGAAATAAATCAGAAAATTACACTCTATCTATTATATATTTTCTGAAAGCGAAGTGGAGCGAAGCGAAGTTGCTTTCAAAATTTTCAGTGGTTAAAGATTGTTGTTGTCGCAAGAAGGCTATCACTTTTGTTTATACCAAACATTCCTATGGGCTCCTTGGAATTTGTTTTTCACTTTGAAGTTTAGTGTAATGACGCCATCAATGTAAAAGTTGCGCACCGTGTGGCGGTTCCGCGATCGTGGTGGTCAGCCAAGTCGGCTGTTTTTGATAAGGTTGACTACTGGTTACTGTTTTTTTTACAGAAATACTTGATTCTTGAAGAATATGATACGGAGCAGAACAAGGATGCAAACGAATCAAGTTGTCAACCATTTGTTAAATTACAGAATTTTTCTGCTATGTGGGAAACGGTTAGTTGCCTCATGACTTTAAAATCCATATTCAAAAAAGCTTGTTAGGTTTAGAACATACTTTGGATTGGAGAAAATAAATCTAGTGTAATTGAGTAAAGACATGCGTGCAGTTCTTATAAATAAGAAAAAATTTGGCAGATTTACGATAAACCTATGTACTTTCATCTTTCCAGGATAAACCTCATAGAAAAAAGACGTTACAATATATATCTGCCGATATCAAGAATGGTGAATTGATCGCGGTAATCGGTTCCGTCGGGTCTGGTAAAGTAAGTTGTTATTTGAAAAGACATGCAAGAATATATCTTAATGCTAGATTTAAAATTTTGATAACACGTATGATATATTGGCACAGTCCTCTTTGCTAAGCGCACTGACTGGAGAACTATCCGCATTAGATGGTACCAAAAAGATCAAAGGAAAAATCTCGTACGTCGATCAACTGCCTTGGATATTTTCTGGAACCATCAGGGAGAATATTTTATTCGGAAGTGAATATGATTCAAAATGGTACACTCAAGTAATTACTGCATGCAGTTTATCCCAGGTATGTCATGATTTGCCTGTGACAAGGAAAGGTTTTTTTATGAAATACGACAGAAGAATGAATTTTGCAATTGAAAGCCACTTGAATAAATTTTGCTTTTGAATTTCAAAAGACGAAATCTCTTCGCATTTATTGTTTTATATTTATACTGTAACAATCCCGTCTACAGTCGATCACATATAAGAGTTGTTTATTATTAAATGTTCTATTCTATGCTGGACTGCTTGAAAGATTCATTCAGAGCAATGAGCATCAACTACCTCGCCGCACGATAACAAAAAATCGATATAAAATCAGACCCACCTCAGCGAGATGATACCTAAAATCAGATTGCCTAAGTCGTAAACGTAATTATACGATAATTCTTCAAAATAAGTGAACCCGATATGGGCCCAAGAAATGAGCTATGATGACCAATTCTAGCAGCAATTACATACGTGCGAGGCCGCAGAAGAGACCCATTTCTTCTAAAAATTTGATTTGTATACCATACACCTACCCTCCACACTTGAAAATTGTCAATGATGAATATTATAATCAATATCCGGCAATTTAGGATTTGAACGTACTAAAAGATGGCGATTTGACACCGGTTGGGGAACGAGGCTTGACACTGAGTGGAGGACAGAAAGCACGAGTTGCACTTGCAAGAGCTGTATATCGGAAAGATGCAGATATATTTCTGATGGATGACACATTAAGTTCCGTTGATACAGCTGTTGCTAATCATATATTTCACCATTGCATAAACGGGCTATTATTGAAAAAAGTTAGTGACTGTTCAAACTATTATAAACGGACAATCAATCGATTGCAATAAATAAACATCAGATATGCATTTTAGATCAGAATACTCGTTACGAATCAAATGTCATTTTTGAAGGATTGTGGCCGAATTATGGCGCTGAAAGAGGTACTTTTAATAGTTATTTGTTATTGATTATGGAATAAACAAAACATTATAACTTTTTACTTTGAAGGGACGGGTTGTTGGTTTTGGAAGTTATGAAGAACTTCTTGATAGTGGTTTCGATTTGGTAACATTTCTTAATAAGAATGATGAAGCCAATAAGACTGACCAGTCTTTTCGTTTAGGTGAGTTTGGGATATTGATATTCATTTCTTAGTATTTTAATTAGTTACTGAACTACTTGGTTGAATATTGAATCGAAATTCACTGACGCCGATCAAATTTTGCAAATGAGCCTGTTGAGCCCGCTGTATGTTTAAGTGACAATAGTCTATCGGAAACGATGCCTAATATGCATATATTTGTGTCCATATATCCATATATTTGCTCCCTTGGTATTTGTAATGTTAATTTAATGCTTATCGCTATTTCCAAATTCGTTTTTTTGTCGTTAAGTTATTTTATTTATGCACATTTTCCATCTCGATCAGGCAGTAGAACTGTTGAACATACATTCAATACAGAATCAGATACACGGCAATCTGCGTATTATATTGATAAGCTGAAAACTGCGACATCTACCGAATCTACAACGGTAAGCACCTTTTGTTTCACGAATGTGTAAGTATTCATCGGAAACTATTATAGGTATATGTTGGATATGCAATTCATTTTTATTCTTTTGTTAAGAGCAACGAATATTTGAGTGTTGGGAACAAGGAAGAAGTCCGCGCGCAAGGGAGTGTGAAACGTAGAGTTTATCTAAATTATTTTAGATTGGGAGCAAACACAATTTTCATGGTGACAATGATTATTGTATCTTTGGCGAGTCACGTGTTATACATTATGAATGATTGGTGGTTGGCAGAATGGTGAGTAGTAATCATAGATCTTTGAAGGCAGGAGCGACGAAGAAAAACTATTTATTACATTTATACAGGTCACAAGGATTTGAAAATCACATAAAAAAAAGTTCAAATTCAAATTCACTTCCCAAACCTACTGAACTGTTTACACTGGAAGAAGATGGCAGCGGGTCATCCGTAATCTCCAACAGGACAATATTTTCTGCCAATACTATCGACGAAAAATCAACAGAATTTGATACGAAATTTTATCGCAATATTTACATTAGTGAGTATAATAACATTGCGATCCTAAATGGCACATCAAAAATATTTGTATATCAGCCCATGGTCATCATTGGACTAATACCAATGCATTATAGGAAGCATATGGAATTTCTAGCAATATTTCGAGCAAGTTGGTTCCTAAAATCACATATCGACATTTCAAATGACGCCTGTTTAAGAGAAATTTATATCAGCAAACTTTTGTTTTTGTGCGGCACATAAAACACCGTTTTTTTTAGACTGCTCAATTAATTCACATGTTCCAACAGTGAGAAACTGTTAACTATCCTAATTTTTCTTAGTCTCCCGTATGTATGTTGGCTTACCCAAAATTTGCTTACCTAAAATTTATAACCAATTTCAACTTGTAAGTGCATAATACATATATGTGCACTTGTGCGTCGCTTCCCTGATTCTAAAAAGGAATACTTGCCCTCATTTATAATTATTTTCACTTACAGTTATCACCGTTTCCATGTTTATCATCATTTTACTGCGGGCCAACATGCATTTTTACTTTTGCATTTCCTCCGGAATTCGCATGCATGCAAAGATGTTTAATGCAATTCTGAAATCACCTTCCAGATTTTTTGACATCAATCCAGCAGGTACTGGATGTAATTTAAGATCATATATTCAATATTGTTAGTTCAAACAAAGTGTTTCCAAGCATTTAAATAAGTATGGCGTTCATATACTAGAGAACTTCAATTATATCATATCACTACCAAGGTCATAACCATTATGATAAGCCCGCTATATTATTGACAGGCTGTCGTATAGTTAAAGATTATTACTTCTTATTATAGGATACATCTTGAAGATTATTTTCTAAGGAATCTAGTAAAACCGTTTTACCATACAATTCATAAAAAACTCTAACCGTTGTAAAGTATAAGACAAACATTTCAAAATACGTACCGTTTGTCGACTTCCGATCCCTGGTGCTGTTATTAACTTATTAGTGTTTCTAAATGACTCTTTGCATACAAATTAACATAGGCCTAATATTATAGTAATTACAAATAGCGTTTCAACTTCAACAACACTTGTGTTTGCATGTTATTTTCAGGAGGAATTCTTAACAGGTTTTCCAAAGATATGTGTGAAATAGATGAGTTCTTGCCTCCAAGATTTTGGGATTTTCTCTTTGTAAGATTGAGCTAAATTATTAGGTGAAATTGAAAGAACCAATCACCACTAATGATACATTTATTTCCAGATAACTGGGTTTATTGTGAGCGTGATCATCTTGACAGCTGTCACAAACTATTTTGTCGTTTTTATCGTTATCCCACTTGGTGCATACTTTGTGTGGCTGAGAAAATATTATCTGCATACATCAAGAGATATAAAAAGGTTGGAAGGAACCAGTGAGTAAAACTCAGCTCTGGCGGTGTAAACTTTTTTTCGATATTTTGGATATTTATTTGTAATCGTCAATAGTGTATTTATATAACATTAACATTTTTATTATTTAGCAAGAAGTCCGATCTTCTGTCACCTGTCTTCAACTTTACAAGGATTACCGACAGTGAGAGCGTTCAGGGTCGAGAAACAATTCAAGGAAAAATATCATCAAAACCAAAATTTACACAGTGGTATTGTAATCTAATATATATTTTTACGGGTAAATTGCGCATTAATTCAATATTCGTCTTCCAATATTTTTTATTTCACAGCGTCGTGGTTTTTGTTTCTTACTAGCTCACATTGGTTCGGGCTGAGGTTGGACCTCATAACTGCGATTTTCATCTCTGCTGTCGCATTTCTGTGTGTTGTTTGTGCGTCGCTACTAAATCTAACACCAGGTGAAGTTGGTCTGATATTAACGTTTTCAGCTGGAATGGTGACTCTCTTGCAATGGGGAGTGAGACAAAGTGCTGAAGTAGAAAATCTTGTAAGTCAATATTGAGTCAAGCCTTTCGAAATACAATTTTGTTTGCATTTTAAAAAGTTCCATATTTTTTAGATGACTTCTGTCGAGAGAATTCAACAATATTACAGATTACCTTCTGAAGCCGCTAGTGAAATCGAAGCCACAAAGCCACCTGCTGACTGGCCATTTTGTGGACGGATACAATTCAATAAAGTGTCATTTTCATATTTTAAAAACGGCCCAAATGTGCTCAAAGAGGTCTGCTTGAGAATAAAACCAAATGAAAAAGTGGGTCTAGAGTCTAGACATAGCGCATTCGATAAACCAATATTATATCATCGATATGGTCATTTAACAGATTCAGTATTATTTATAGATTGGAGTGGTTGGCCGCACAGGTGCAGGAAAAACTTCTCTCGTAGCCGCCTTGTTCAGGTTGAATGAATTAGAGAATGGAGAAATATATATTGACGGAATCCCAATCAGTACTTTGGGACTTAAAGATTTGCGAGTTGCAATATCAGTAATTCCGCAGGTATAAATTTATATTATTATATACAGCAGTGGATTTTATGTATATTGCTCAAAACAAATTGCTCAGCTCAAGTGTCAATAATACTATATAATACACGCATAGCAATCGCAAACCACAACCAACATACCATAGCCACTACGCATGAATTTATTCGTTCTATATAGATTACAATACAATACTGGCACGAGATTTGAGCAACAATGAAATTGTGGCCGTTTTTTTTTTTTCTATCATAATTCTTCTTCTTCATCGTAGGATCCTATATTATTTGCGGGTACTATGAGAAGAAATATTGATCCTTTTGATATTTATACCGATGACAAGTTATGGGAGGCGTTGGCAAAGGTCAGTGATATTAGCTAGAACAAGATGCAAGCATCGCCGTAGTGACAACAGCTATAACCAATATTATGAATTGGATTTAACATCTTGTGCCATTAAAAAATATATGCGAGCAGTTTCCGCCACTTTGAATGAGCTAAAAAAGAAATTCATTACCATAAAATATCTTTAATTTATATAAAAAGTATAACGAATAGAAATATACGTTTGATATCTTACAATCCATTTTATTTGAATTCAATGAAATATGCGCATAACTGTATAGTGATGAGACACTTTGGTAATCACCTAAAGCTAATGACGTCAAATAGGTCTATTAAGTAACTGCTACACGTCGCTTTGAGAGAAGTTTTTACATCTACAAATTTCTTTTCAAAATTATAATTCTTAAACTTCAATTCAGCAGACCGGGATTGTTGATAAATCTAACTGTTCAAACAGACATGAACGAGTCCGTGTCAGGAAAACCCAATTTTTAATAATTAACTCATAACGCCAATCATAGCCTCCCGCATGATCACTTTGGGGTTTGTAAATTTGATTCATTATGTCGCACAAAACATCGACTGACTTGTACATTTGTTCCCATCATTCTGTCACTGACCCTAATCTATATATCGTGCAGTTTTGAGTAGCCGACACGAATGCATCGATATTTTTTTACGGCTTAGTTTCAGTGATACTCACTCACACCAGCATCCTACATTTTATATAATTTCAATTTAGGTTCAACTTGCAGATTTTGTGAAATCTCTATCGTTACAACTAAATACAGAAATGGCAGAAACAGGATCAAATTTCAGTGTTGGACAGAGACAACTGATTTGTTTTGCAAGAGCAATCTTGGCAAAAACTAAAATACTTGTAGGCCTAATTGATGAAGCAACTGCAAATGTAGATATGAGGTGGGTTTTGATGCGGTTTTTGTCGCCAATATTGGTATAGAGCAGGGGTCATCAAACTACGGCCCGCGGGCCGGATCCGGCCCGCGGCGTAATTTTATCCGGCCCGCAATAACTCGCAAAAATGGCGAAATTTTTTTTCAAGGAAAATTTTCCCGAGCATTGTCTTCCTTGTTTATTTGATAATGGGGGCCAATCAGCAAGATGCAAAAAAGTGACGTAATAATGGGCCTTTTCGCATCCGCTCAGACACTTTTGTCACCTTGACAGATTTTCAGTCTTGGTTGTAAACAGTACTTCGTTTTTGCGATTTTGAATGCTATTCGTTAGTTTTTGGTTGTGTTTGGAAAATTTAAGTATGAATCAAATAAGTCAATCATCATTTGTCTCCTTAAGAGTTGTAGTTCGAATAGTAGTAATGAAAAATTAGTATAGAAAGAGCTATGACAAAATAGACGAAAATTATCTACCGGAGCGAAACGTTTTCCGCGAAAGATGCACTCGTATACTTGTGGCGCGTGTTTTCGACGAAACTGTTTACGTTTCTTGTGCTGAAATGAACGTCGAATGTGCATGTTGCGCTAACAGTACTGTGATTCCTCGCGTACTGCTGCAATTTTACAAGTCACACTTACTTTTGTACTGCCTAAATGCGGATATTCATGTGGGTATGTTACAGACAAATTAAAGTTCACCCGATTTAAATAAAAACTGCGCCAGTGGATAGATCTGAGTGAAAATAAAAAGTTTATAAAAAGTTTATAAAAAACGGTCTGGAAATAACGAAGATATCGGAATTTAAGTACCGCCCGACATGCTAATTTTTTCCATAAGGATTATATTACTTTTTGGATAATAACTGTAATAAATATGAAAAAAGAACACATATCAATCTCTAATCTTTCGATCTGCGTCACATCTATGGAATATTGAGACTATTTCAGGATTTTATTCTGGCAACGGCCATTGACACCGCCGAAAGTTCGTCGCAAATAAACGCTGGAGTTGTGCATGTTAGTTTGACAGTGGTTCATTGTGAGTAATAATTAAAGATGTTCTGATAGAACAAACTTTATAAAAATTGGTAAGTATTAAGTTAGGAAGGAAATACACTCGTTCACATAAATTTTATTGGTGTCCATGGACAATATCAAAATTTGCACTACGTATAACTTGAAATTTATGCGTTAATGAAAAAATCAAATACCAGATAATAGTTGTTCATTTTATCTAACTTATGTCAAAACTTCATGGAATTCCAAGGTACTGCAGGCGGTCCGTAGTCGTTTATATGAGCGGTATTCCAACGCGTCGTAACGGTACAAAGCGGACGTGATGCGTACATATTTTTTGTCACGAAAAAGTGACATATTTTTTGGCGCGAAAAAGCGGCCCGCGGTCAAAAAAGTTTGGTGACCCCTGGTATAGAGTAATGTTTCGCAAGCATATTTTGCATATGACTAAATCGATATTTTAACAAAAATACCCTAATATAATTGGCGATAAGAATGTGAAATCGAATTTAAAAATGATAGCTATTTGAATAAAATGAAGTGGATTCTATTTTTATACGACATATAGGCTAAGGTGATAAGTTAACCGCAGGTGATTTTCATAATGATATATGTTAATTTTTATTAAGGACGGACCAGTTGATTCAGTCAACCATTCGGGAGGAATTCAAACACTCCACTGTGATAACCATTGCTCATCGTATCAATACAGTTATTGATTCAGATAGAATTTTAGTATAGTAGGTCGGGGGAAGTCGGACCCACTAATAAGTTATTTTGAATAACTCTTCAAATAATGACGCAGCTGCATTCGTTCTACGATTGATGCATGCACCCACCCTCCAGCTATCTTGCCACATTCGCACATTGTTGCCATAGCAACGAATCGAAATTTACGCCCGATTTTCAGCTAAAAAAATAGCGGGGTAAGTTAGACACTTTGTGGGAAAGACGGACACACACCAAAATTAACTTGATGGTGTCTAAGATTTCGGTCATAAGACTTCGGTCAACGCCTAGGTGGCCCAGGATTATGTCTCTTGAATTTTTTTTAAACAGATCACTTTTCTTGCATATTAAAAAGTATGTCCGTCTTACCCCATAAAGGACATAACAGGGCAATTTTCAAAAGAGTTTGAACAGTTTTAGGACAACTAGAAATTTAAAATTTAGTTTGCGCTATTTCAACTGCAATTTTTATATTTTCTTTACACGGACTACCTCTAGAAGTATTTATTTTGTAATTTCTTGGCATAACCTTGGGCGTATTTTATACGCATATGAAAAAACAAATTGGACGGGGTAAGATGAAATTTTACGCCGGGCTTATTTTCTAAGAGACCCAATATGAATATGGCGATGGGTGTGCTTTTGATCTTTGTTGTAAAAGGGTACTTAGTACCAAAAAATAATTATTTATAAGTTTCGATGACGACGGCCCATTGACATTCCCAACAGACTATATTGAAAAAAATCCTCCCCCCTCCCCCACTCAAAATCCACCCTATCTCTTAAGTGACCCTGTCAACCCGAAAATAAGTACTGGCAGTCTGCAAAAGAATTTATTCGATCTAATGCAACTACTTCCAACAAATAAACAAAATAGAACCGAGTTCGCAGACTTTTCCGGCTAAAATTATTCTTCGCCACCATGGGACTCTATAATTTGACGTTTTTCTGTCCCAACAGAAACACCCGTTCCCCAAAAAGCACCGCCTTGTAAGTTGTCGAGCCTGAAATGTAAAATCTTGGTTCTGTCGTTGTTCGCATGATGTCGCTCTTTCACGCGATGCGTTTTGAGCGACGAAAAAGCGCGAGGTGTCGCTAGTAGGAGGATTTTATTTTGACTGACCATCATACCCCGGGTGTCCGAACTACCCCGACCTACTATAAGTAGCGCTATATAATTAGGATATGCTTTACATATATTTTTGCGGGGAGAGTAAAGGCGATAAAACGTCTTATTAGTATGGAGAACCACGGCCTCTCGTCCGGTTACGAATCCATGTCGGGTATGGGATTAGTTAGCCAGTTATTTGTTTTCAGATGCTTGATGATGACGGTAAGCCGACGACGAATAAGCCGTAACCGACTAACGGTTACGTGAACTACCCCAGGGCGGCGAGGAGTCCAGAAATCCTCTCGCACATATTTATCCCCGCATTGGATTCGAACCTGCGAACCCATACAGAGTAATCAGAGGTAACCTAAGATGAACGATGAAAATTTTTCTAAATTCTCGTGGGGGCGGCGCAAAGTATCTTTTTTCATATTATTGTATACCGAACTCAGTCCAAAAATCGTTGATAGTTCTAAAATACACATTCTACCACCGAGTCGAGAAAGGTATGAGGCATATCCCATTTCCATAAACTCGTCTGATTTAGGTTCCCTTACATACAACATCAAAACCAATTTTTGTAGGTACTGGGCGGAGGATTAGTTAAAGAATTTGACGAACCTTATAAACTGCTTCAAAACAAGAACGGGCATTTTGCTAATATCATCAAAACAATTGGGTGCCAGGAAGCTAAAATATTGGAATCAGAGGCAAAACGGGTAACGGACATACCACATATATAAATAATTTTAACCATATGAGGGTGCATAATGATAATTAATATATATATATGTCTCAGGCAAGTTTACTCTGAGAATCAAAACATCGGTAAAAATGTAATTCCAAAGAATATTTGAAATGATATAAAAATAAATAATTTTGAAATACATATGTTTTGAGTATATATATATATATATATATAATATACGTTTTTAATATATATGTATATACGAAATCTGTTAGAAATTTGCATCATGTACATGGTTTTCTGATGTTTGTTCTGCTACAAATATCTTAAAGCTTGAATACAGTGCTTCAAACATTTTTGCTCGTTTCTCACTTATAGTAACATAGGTAACGAATTTTCTATTCTGAACCACTTATTATTTGTCTAGTGAAGAAAAATTCCCATGATTATGAGCCAATAATTTGATATAAAAACTATAACTTTTATTCTTGTTTTCAGATATACGACAAAAAATATCTTCTGGATAATCATACATAAACTTTACAATTCAATATCAAAAATCTCCGCGCTGCTTGTAATAAAGCTCCACATCCATATTTAGCTATACCGGTATTTGTTTGTTGACTTGTAGGGTCATTTTGATTCAAAACATTATTATTTGATATTAATGGTATATATATATATATATTGACATTTTCGAAAAATTCACACGTGTAGAGTTTTCTGGTTTCTGTACATTTATTATTTTTTTGTATCATACTTGTAATAAAACTGAAAATACTACATAGTCGCCTACATAGCTACTAAACGTCAGGCACGGTATTTTGAATATATATGAATGAAATTGAATTAGGCGTCGTTTTGTTGATAAGACACGGTTAATTAAAATGCGATGTTTGCAGATTCGAATCCCCTAGAAAATAATTAAGTAGAGAATCCCTAGATTACGTCATAACAAAATAATTTATGTGTTCCTGTAGTTTAGCGTTTCCCAGACTGTGTTCCGCGGAAAGGGAATCAAATATACGTCTAAAATGGTCGCCATGGCGATCTATGGAACGTGAAGTTGTCGCCCAATACCGCGTCACCGTCGGCCTAAAGTGGACTAACTATAGGGTGGAGTAGTAGTATTTTCGTTAACCGTCGGCCTAGCTTGTTGACTGTAATGTTATTGATTTTGCAATAAGCAAACAAGTAGGTCTAAAAAATGAAGGGAAAAGATCAACTCTTCTTCCTCCATCTCTGCCTGGTTTCACATTGAAGTGCTGAAAAATTACTCATTCTAGCTAAACTCTATTCAGTAGATAAATAAGCGGCAGGTCTGCATCTCGCGAAATTGCGGCAAGTACCTTTATCCCCATTAGACGTAACTTTAGAGGCAAACACTACGTAATGGAAGTAAACGAAATGCAATGATAAAATAAATGCATTGATTCTTATACACAGCATTTAAATTAGGAAACAATAAAACATTTATAATAAATGCAGTATGTAGAATATTCAATCATATTTTAGGTATGTTTACCACAATTATGTCAGTTTTCGCGGCGCATTCAGCAACTCGCCACGAGAACCCAATGGGAACCGCTACATTACACCATTTTTCTTTATCAATTTTTTTATTTCATTTTTTGGTGTGCCGCGAGGCGAGATAAAAAGTGCAAGTGTTCCGTGGCCACCTCAATATTGGCTCGGTTAGAATAAATATCGATTATTTTTTGTTCTCAAGTATATTTTAAACCTCCATAAATGTGTGCCTGAGAACTATTTCCAAAAAATATAAGGTAAATTGATCATGATTTGGCTTTCAATTAGTAACGAATATTGAAACTGCTTATTTTAGATAACATGGAACACTAGTTTCATTATTATATATAATTAGTATTACTTTTTATACGAAGGGCACCAAGGTCTTACTTGCTTAAGGCCTCTGAAACTGTGAAAAGCATGATACGGCCCTAGGCGGAATAGACTAAACTTTTGAATACTAAAAACCTTCTTACCGTAGCTTCCGATATACAAGTATGAATTCTGATAACATCAAAGTGAGAACCACACAGGGGGAGCAAAGTACAGACCGTAAGTTGGTAGGAAGCTTAACACTGTCAGACTGTTCTGCTGTTAGAGTGGCTGAGTGAGGTACCGTACCGGTATCCTGGTATTGTTATTTTGGCATGAGAACTTGGGAATGTTAAACGTCAACAAATACCGGCCCGCGCACTAAAATAATTCGGCCGCGACGCTTCACCAAATGATAGCGACAAAACGGCGGTATTGACGATGAATTAATTTTATAATCTACACTCGATGAGTAGATTATATTCTTTTTATGACAAAGTGATTCTGACTGTATACCATTCAGGCTAAACTTTACTAATTTTCTTTCTTTAAACGCCATACAAGGTATGTCATGGTATTCTGTTATCACATAATCAAAGTGACTATAAACCTGTAAACTGTTATAGTCACTTTGCACATAATAAGAAACATGAGCAGTTGGAGCACATATTTCACAGACCACAACGCGTTGGCAGAATATCATGTATAATGAGAGAGACGCCAGCAGAAACATCAAACCCAATGGACCTTTCCCCGACCTTTGACCCCCGAAAAATTCTTTACCATCACAATTTTTTCGGGCTATTGTATGAGTGCCTTTGCGAGTTGGCGCCTGTAAAATGGGGTATGTGTTTCAAACCATCCTTATGATTCATCGCATACAACAATCTGTTTTTTAAAAGTACCGCTAAAGAATTTTAGCCCAGTCTATCACATCTATTTCTACAATAATTTTTATTACTGCAATTAAAATAAAATTCCTAGGAAGACAGAGGGATCATTGAATTATCTGATTTATATTCAAGTTTCCGAAACACATCTGAAAACTAACGAATAGAGTTCAAAAACGCGAAAACGAGGTAATGTTTACGACCACGCTTTAAAATCTGTCCGAGTGAGAAATGTGTCTGAGCGGATGCAAAAAGGGAGCTTTGATACGTCACTTTTTGCATCTTGGTGATTGGCCAATGTCACGAAGTTAACAAGGAAGTCGATGCTCGGGGAAAGGTCCCATATAATTTCAATGAACGATTATCAAAAATCTTGACCCCATTTGTGTTTTAGGCCAGTAGGTCTTGTGCATGCATCCCGTCTTAAAGATAATAATTGTCAATTTATTCATTTATCACTATTACGAGACGAATAAACATACATACATACGTTTATCATGATAAAATTAACAGAAAGTATATAAAAAAATATTCTTATCCCAAAAGTGCACACTACTGCAATGAAAGATAATTAGAAAATTACAAAAAATGCCAATTTCTGCTCTGGTGGTCAGATTCTTCATAAGAGCTAATGTTAAAACCGTTTTGTTCATGCCACTTTTATTTTCGGCGGGTAGGATGGGTTTTTCATGACTAAGGTCTATTCCGTCTATTCCGCCTCCGCCACTAGTGGGCGCAAAGGAAATGATTGATTGGAACAATCTCGCCTGCTCATTTTCTGTTTACCAAAAATAAACTGGGCTGTCGTATGTAGTAGAGTTATCCTTCAGCCGTGGGCCTGGTGCACTCCGCCGGACCCTAGAAACTGCAGAACTGTATTAATGTACGGGACCCTATGACCCGATGGGCATGGCTGAAACACAGAAACATTAAAATGGTTTAGCAGCATGTTATAAATATAGAAGGGCTTTGGGCTATTTTATTTAAGTCTGTAAGTCTCAAAGTTAAGTCATACCGGTACCGGTACCTGATCTGCCACCAAAATTATAAAACGCTCTTCAGCAGCATTTTAAAAGTGGAGAAAGGTGCCAGTCTGGTGCACGTCCCAGGCCGGTACCGTTACCGCAGTACCGTAATCCCTGGAAATGCTGAAATGCTACTACTTCAGTACTTAGTTACCGTGTTACTGAATGCAAATCAAAATATGAGTTGCAGTAAGACCAGCATTTAATTATTCTCTTCTTAGATCTGAAACCCTGTGAAGTCTAAACTAATTAACATATAGATTTTGAATATCATTACACTATATTCAAGATGTTACGAAGAGGAACTGAGAGCAAGAAACCCATCAAGGAGAAGATACTTCTTTTATATGACATGATTTTCAAGCCTGGTAATGATGATTTAACCTCGGAAAATCCAAACTTTTGGGATGAATTTTTTTTGTTGAAGGTTCATCCTGAGTATATAGAGAAAAAGTTTGAGGTTCTTTCTCCAAAGGATGTATTACAACTAAAGAACAGGCTTAATTCTATGTTTGATAAATGTTTGGAATATATTCAATGTGATCAACCTGTAAGAGTTATTAATGCATTACAGACATTATCATCTTTATTTCGTGGAATATTTGCTTGTGAGTTGGGTGACCATGGCTTCGATCGTATTGATATTCTCATTGGCTTCGATATGGCAGAAACTAGCATGCATGTTTTACTGCGATGCCTCACTGCTGGCCTCCTCACTGATCATTATAATACTACAATCAAATCTGTTATTTTACAATTATTGCTCGTGATTGCTACTGGCATGGAAAACATAAGCCAGAACACTTTTGTCGAATACTTGATGGCAAATGAAAGCCTTTATGACACTTTGGTTGAGCTGCTTGCTGATCCAGTCGCTCGATCGAGACTCGGTAATGATACAGTTTTGCTGCTTGCACTCTTGGTAAATTATAGAAAATATGAGGGCGTGAACCCATTCATAATGAAGCTTTCTGTGTTGGATAATGAACTGGCATTAAATTGCCTTGGATCTGTCATATCTTCAGCTCTTGCCAGTTTCAATAGACAATTCATATCGAAGCAAGAAGAAACCAAGAGTACTGGATTGTTTTCAACTATAACAAATATGGTTGGAAGCATGTTCATAGGTGACTCTGATGAGCAAAAACAAATGATTAAAACGAATGAAGCCGTTCTTTTGGCTCTTTATGAAGCAATCCATCTAAATCGTAACTTTATTTCGGTCTTAACACACTCCCATGCAGATTCTATTATTGGGACTCCTCCTAGAACGCCAGGAGGAACAGATGATGAATCTGTGCCAAGTCTTCCTAATACACCAACACCTGAATCTGTGCAGGAAGTTTCTACAACAAGAAATGTACTTTCTACATTCTTGCAATATACATCTATCGTTATGCAAGACACGAAACTGAAGCAAAATGTCAGCAGCACAAAGTTGTGTTTTATTGTTTTGACTTGTATCACTGAAGACCAATTTGCAAATTCATTTCTTCATGATGATAATATGCCGTTTCAGGTTTTGATTCACAGAATGCCAATGCGACATAGGAAGCAAAAATCTGGCCCAGAGAAGGGAGGTGCTCCTTTGGCATGTTGGTTGCTCGATTTGACTGTCGAATTTATAGTCAGTCACATGATGAAAGATTTTCCTTTCAGACAGCACATGAGGTGCCTGGGAGTTATACATAGATTGATGTGTTATGAAAAGAAATGTCAAATCAGACTTATGTACAACTGGCGGGAATTGTGGACCGCTCTGATCAACCTTTTAAAGTTCCTTTTGGCGAATGAAAGTACCATGGTTAACAATTGGAAAAAGGGTATATTCGCTTTGTTTACTCAAATTGTTAACATCTTTAATATGTTTATCACATTCGGTGATACATTTTTGCCAACTCCCACAAGTTATGATGAACTGTACTATGAAATAATTCGAATGCATCAGGTTTTTGATAATCTTCAGGCATTTGTGATACGGTACAGCAACAATCTTGAATACAAAGACATTGTTCCTAGACTAGCGAGTGCCATGGTAAACCTTCAAGCCATTATTCGACATTTTACACCAAGAATCGACAAGTGGACAAAGGATAATAATTTGACTTCATTGACGGAAGAGGAAGTCCTGGAAGTTGTGAGAAATAATTACGACAATTTAACCTTGAAGCTACAGGATAGTCTTGACCATTTTGAAAGATATTCAGAAAGACCAAAAGAGACTCATTTCTTTACCGAGCTGGTACGCTCAATAACAGAACAATATAAAAAGAATGTCACTTTTGCAAATATAAACTTGCAAGATTTTATGCATTTAGCGTAAAATTGTTCTGAGCGTAATGGGTCTTACCTGTTTACCTTACCTGTTTTCTTATAAATTTCCCTTATTCCATGCTTGTTTACTTAAATAATAGTTGCAAAGTACTATCTAACTTTTATCGAATGATCTTGCTTAGTTCTTCTCTTATTTGTTTGTTGACTTGAATTACTATATACTGTATGTAGACTGGAGTGTAATTTTATATTTATCAAAGCAATACAAAAACTAGATTATATAGAAGCAATATAGAAGACTAGATTTTTTGTAATACACTTAATTCATGCCGAGCACGCCCTGGACAAGCGTCCAATGAATACACGGGATACATTATTTATTTAACTGAAATCTTCCTAGTTCGCGTAGCTCACCCAATTTATTACTCTATGGTTGAGGTGTTGAGTATAGGTTGTGAGATCGAAATGTGTAACAAACAACAAGTCTAATGCTTTAACGAATACGCCATCACACTCCAGTCAGTCTAGTTGGTTTCTAAATTAAGATAATCATGTCCTCCAAGTTTGTGAGCCGAGAATGCAAATCTAAATCATATGTTCATTGTTAAAATCTGTACTCATTTATGACAAGATGAAATGCTGATGAAGGTTTTGTGATATTTTCAGTTTTGCCCTGGAAAGTCGGAACATATTAAATTTCCATATTAAATTTCCAAACTTGTTAGTTAGAATGAAACTATACTGCCAATAAGTATGTTCTGGAAAATATTCAGCTATCTCTTTTCTAAATTCAGTCACGCTGATGATAAGCTATCGCCATGCCTGGTCTCGTGGTCTTTGATAGTTGATCTACCAGTATATATGTATATTATTGGATATGGCTTTTCGCAAGCGAATATATTGGGCATCATGACATGAATCTGGAAAATATCAATTCCCTCCACTTCAGATCAGGCAGATTATATTACAGACATATTAATTTTAAAATGGAGGGAAGTTTGCGACGAGGGCCGAACATTCCAAAGTGCTTGAGAGGAAAACTATTTTTGTTCTCGTGCATTTCAAAACCAGTTTGTTTGATATGCCGGGTCAGCATCGCAGTTATTAAGGTATTTGATGTTAAACGTGTCATTTCAAAAACAAAATTCGACCCGGAGACCCGGGGCTCGTGATTTGTTGAGAATTCAGTTACACAATAAAATTCTATTGGCATTAGACCAGGCATGTCCAACCTTTTAGTGCCGCGGGCCACTTTCACACGAGGAAACTCATTGCGGGCCGCAAACTTAAATATATATATATACCAGTTTTGATTTACGTTAGAGTTTGCGCGTCGCTGAATCAAACGCTTGGATTGCACAAGCTATTGTGAAAAAAACATACACACGATAGCAAACTATAAACAGAAAAAACAACCAGAGACAGCAGAAAATATATTGTACAGTACACTTTTTATTTTACAGTAGCGATAAGGATGATCGGAAAATAATATTCATAATGAATTAAATTTGGGGAACTTGTATATTGTGTATTGAACTGCGGGTCCTTTCTCCTTGATTACTTTCTACTTCGGATCCGTATGTGGTACTCACCACAAGGAAGCTTGAACGAGATAGTATTAAAGTGAAAAGTAAAAATAACATGATCTCTTTCAACGAAATAGTAAGTATATGTGTTATACTTACTATTTCGTTGAAAGAGATCATGTTATTTTTACTTTTCGAATTAAATTTGGGTTGCAAATTTATTCCCATAATTTTCCTCGTCCAATGATCGCACAATAGCTTTCGATTTCGTTGAGCAAAACGCGGAGTCCTTGGCGGAATAAAAAATACATCAATGTCGACCTGAGTGCAAGATTTGGTACATGTGATGAAGAGAACCGACAGTGGGATCAATGACAAACAACATGATAGGGAACTCTGACGTCACTCCGTAAGACTACAAGCGAAAGATTGTATTTCATGATACGCTCCAATGCACATATTTCTCGTCGCTTTTCGCGACCGTTTTCAGTTCGCTTTTGCTACTCGGCGTCTTCTTTACGTGTAGTACCTGCCTTTTTGCGACTGTAACAAAAGAAAATAATCTCTATATCTAAGAAGTTTTACTCACTTGGAAAGCTGGAATGGCAGACAAGCTTTAAAGAGCAATTCTGGACATCATAGACGTTTTTTATCAGAGAAGATTACAAACGCGATAGCGGAAAGATTTGTGAGGAACATTTTGCAGATAATAACAAATTTCAAAGTTAGTAATTTTAATGTTTGCGCTTAAACATTGAAATTTCATTTAAAGAGGGTGTCATACAGGACAGCAAAACGGTTTTTACTTTTTCTAACGGTGCTATGATACAATTCCATAACACAAAGTTTGCACCTATCGAAAGAAAATAATCTCTATATCTGAGAAGTTTTGCTCATTTGGGAAGCTGGAATGGCAGACAAGCTGTAAAGAGTAATTCTGAACATCATAGACGTTTTTTATCAGAGAAGATTACAAACGCGATAGCGGAAAGATTTGTGAGGAACATTTTGCAGATAATAACAAATTTCAAAGTTAGTAATTTTAATGTTTGCGCTTAAACATTGAAATTTCATTTAAAGAGGGTGTCATACAAAACAGCAAAACTGTTTTTACTTCTCTTAAAGGTGCTGTGATACAATTCCATAACACAAAGTTTGCACCTATCGAACTTGTTTTAGTAGGTGAATTTATTAGACATATTACATATTCAGTTAATCGTAGGTAACATTACTGGTACATAATGCCTCGTAGATAGGTTTGTGTCTAAATTTAGGAATTTAGCTCATAGCCCGCTAATTAATATTATCTTCTATGCAGGAGATTGCAGGGCTGATTCAACTTGCAGCCTTACCAATCACCTGACGATGCTCATTTAGTTTGTCTCGAGCAAGTCTTCTTGAAAGACTTGTGTGAATGAAAACTACCTATATGTTTTGCCTTCCTCCGATTTTAGAAGACAAATTCAATCTGAGGACTTTTGCATAGAATTCTCATTGATTGTTGGCTGTTTATAATTCCTATTAAATGTGAATTCTGATTATATCAAAGAGTTAAACATTTTTTACGTAATTTACGGGCACTTTTTTCTTGTCAATACTCCAAGCTGAGGTAATAAGCAAAACAATACATTCATGTCATCTGCAAGCAAAATATGCACACTAATTAAAAGTTTGACACATTGAGATAATACATCATGACAGAAAATACAAAGATACAGTATGTATGGCCATCACATGGTAATTAAAATTTAAAAAAAATTAATAGAGGCTGTGGAGTATGAAAAGTTCAAGACAAAGAAAAGAACAAAAGTGCATAGCTCATGAACTCTCAATTCTGCCTCCATTGCTTTGTGAAGGCCAATATATTCCGAGTGGCTGAATTGGTTTACCTTTATGATAGCAACGGTTTTGTATTTAATATAGCGAGATTTTTTTTCAATTTAATTGAAGTGATATTATTTCCCAAAGCAATGCTTGAATCGTCTAGAATAGATCAGTGGTGTCAAACTCATGGGTTTCGAGAGCCGCATTGCATGTTGGAAATTGTAAAAAGGGCCGCAAACAGTTTTTGATAATGTATACTCGAGAGATATTTTTCAGATAGTTTTAGTTTGTGACATATATTGTGATGCAACTAATCAGTTGGATTAAGTTTTATTATTTTCTTTAATTTCAAATGCAATTACATATTAATATTTGCATTCCACTATTATTGCAAGTTACTGTATTTATTACAAAAAATCATAAAATTCCATGTACAACCATCAAAATCATTTTTGAACAAGCCTTGGTTAAGGAAAGAATAATATATACACTAAAAATGACTTAATCTAAATATATGAACCTAAAATTAACAAAAATACTACAGTATAAACTCAATGTTTTTTTAATTACATTTGTCCTGACGTTTGGCATCTTCTTTGTGTCACCAGCATACTAAGGCCAGGCTGAAATGATTTTATAGTACCAACTCTAACTAACGAGGTCGCATGATCATGGGTTAATCTGTATCTTTGCAAAAGTTTAATTAATTCCAGTAATGCAAAAAAGTTACTTTTATCATTTCATGTATAGATCAGTAAATAAACAAATGACAGATTTTTTCGACAAGACATTTCACGCTACATTGCATGGCATAGGATTGCTTGAATTATTATTGATATTGATTTTTAGTAACTAAGTCGTTGCATATTTATATTAATATACAAACACATGGAAATTTTCTGTTCGGAGTTGGTCTTCGAATTTGTCATATTGACTGCTGAGCTTATTGTGTTTTTCATTGTACTGATGGAAATATGACAAATTAAACAATGTGCTTCAGAATTTTGTGAAATGCAGAAATATTGCAACTCCCATTTTCTTCGAAAATGCCACCTTCTTCGTGTACTTTAATTTAATCACTCAAGTGTTTTATTCAGTATTCTTTTGCTAGCTTGATGTGTATTCTTAATTGAGTCAAAATGTGAACAAAAAAAATTACCTTTCTAAAACTACTTTCAGTAAATTGTTTTCTGTGTGAATATTCAATTTCACTTTAAAAGGTTTGAAAAATCTTTTACATTTAAATAAAAAAAATTCCAAAATACTATTACAATTATTGTTAAGCGTTCGAGGGCCGCACTGGAAGTTCTCTGGGGCCGCGAGTTTGACATCCCTGGTCTAGATTGAAGTTGTCCAAAATATATAACATTATTTTATCATGAATCATGATTATACCCTTTTCTGAATTTCTTCTATAGTACTACCAAAATTTGATGAACCAAATATAACACAGGTGTAGTCAGTGAACCGTAATCCTCATTTTTCAAAGCTGTTTTAAGTATGTCTGGCATATTTTGTGCCTTTTTACAAAGAAGACCCCTTATGTAATCTTACGCTTTGGAATTTTTAGTTATTTCCCTCAAGCCCTGCAGGATGTAGGGGCCATACACAACTTTACCGGAGGGTCAAATGTCTTTGCATTCCTCCATAGGTTGTTCTTCTATTGCAAACATTTATGGAGTATTCTAATCATATTTCTTGGAATCAAACTGTCACTGATATGTCGCCAGACTTCTGATATCTCCCCTTCAGCTACAGTTGTCCTGTGAATAAATAATAGGAAATTGAGGTTAGACGAATAGTTGAAAGTTTTGTTTTATGTCGGCCTAATTTCTTGATTGATATACTCACTATTATTGCTATTGCCTCTTGTGCTGCAGGAGTCTCACAATGCTTAGACAGGTCTGTCCACAACTTTCACATCTGTAGGAGAGGAGATGTATTAATTTTCGTTAAGAATAAATAAAGCAGTCTATATGATTCAGAATGGAAAAGCTAATAAATCCAATATCTTATGTTTTTTGTAAAAAATGTTTTACTGAATTTGGTATATAAACTAACTAATAAAGGGGTTTAGTCAGAAAATTATAAGCATTCGTGGCTCCAAATACTTGAGAGATCAGACTATACAATATAGACCGGTATGAGGAAATTTTAGGTGAACTTGTTAACCCGTTGATTCAATACGCAAATAAAAGTGAATGAGCAATAGTATGTTACAGCAATAAGTATTTATCCTCACTGATTAAAAAAATCTAACTGGAGGTGCATGAACTATTTGAAACCATAATGGGTAAGTAAATATGCAATTTCGGCAAATGGGCAACTACGTACCGTACTGAATTAATAACTTCGTAGTATTTGACAAAAGCTGGCTTTTCCGCATGTACTTAACAGTGCGATGCCCGGGTGTGATATACAACAATAGTATTTACCTTACTTTTTTCCGATTTATTTTTACCTTCAATTTTCCACATATCATTAAAAACCACAACAATTGTCGAAGCAACCTCGAACACCATTCGTGCTATGCCTTGAAAGCAACACACATCCGCTCGTCTTCGTCTCGTCAAGTATGTGCATTGGAGCGTGCTATCGAATACGATCTTCGGCCAAAAATGCCGGAGTTGCGCATCATGTTGTTTTATGTCATTGGTTACACTGGATTTTGTTCACCTGAAAACGGAGATGTCCCCTCTCCCCCACTCCACTAAAATAATTAGTATGTGCTGTTGGCTGAAATGGCTAGTTGTTCTGTCAGTTGGGACATTGCAATTTTAGTGTGAAGTACCCTGCAGATTTTGAGTTCGGGATTTTCACGGGGAGAATACGGTACTGCAATGCTGTGATAGGGACATGTAATTTTAATACAGTAATATGGGCATTTCTCTATTTCAGCGCATAGACTAGCGGTATCTAGTTTTTTGATAGTACCGGTACCGTACCCAGGTACCGGTAACCTAGGTCTCTAGATAGCGAATTTTTTGTTTTTATTGTGGATAAGGTTACTGTGATCATAGTCTGATAGTGGCAGAGTGGGGGTCATAGGTACCGGTACCGGTATGCTATTTATCCAAGAAACGTCTGTTTTCAGAGTCTAATTATCATTTGTTTTCTGACATCTCTAAGCTTGCTTTCTTTTGTGGTTGATAACTAAATTACTTCCCTATGTAATCCTAATACCGGTACCTGAATACCGTTACATATAATTGGGATACCGGTACTGGTATAATTGAATTGTTTCAGTGAACATGTGCTTAAACTGTGATAATACAGTAATATAATAACATAACAAACAGACAATTGGCGGTATCTGGATCGCAAAAAGGTAGAAACAAAATTTGTTGATCATTGTTTTACTCAAGCTTGACGGGCCTTTTTAAATCGTTACAGTACACGGGCCGGATTTGGCCTGCAGGCCGTGGTTTGGGAACCCCTGATTTAGATGTATAGGCCTAGGCTTTAATATTGGTCATAGTCATTTTGAACATAGTTGGTTTTATGAATGACAGATATCTTAACCATAAGAAATGATTGATATAGTTCAGTAGTTGGTATGTTGTTTTCCTCCTGCATCTATGCATCTGTCCAGTCTGTCTGTCTGTGGGCTAGCGAAGTAAACGCTGTAACTGTTTCAATAGCTCCAAATAAAATGTGATGTCTGGATGTGAAAAAACTGCTTAAATAATATCCAACAAAAATATGATGCTGTGATATGAAATTTCTATGTCTTTCAAATAAAAGGGGGTGTCTGTCCGGAATGACTGAATGAATTTCACTTCTTATTAAATTTCTGTTGGCCGTATCTGGGCCGTTACTGTACAGCGTTTACTTTGCTAGAAGACCCTACATATGTTCTGGACTATTAAAATGGTAGCGTTTCTTATACACATATAACAGGCCAGGTATCCGTGTGCCGTACTGAACTCCCACCTGACAACGAGTCTACGACATTCAAAAATCACTTCACTACGACGCCATGGTAACTTACGGACGGTAATAAGGCCCACCAAGCTATCCTATTTCCAGTGAAAATTATTTTTTTCCGAAGCAAGTTCTTGTAACTTGTAATGAAGCAGCAAGATTGTATGCAACTGCTATTTTTTTTATTGGGTTAGGAAAAACATTTGCCAAAATGGTTGTGCCACGCCAAATAGAAGTACTTACGATGATTAGTGAACATGCGCCCATATAACAGTATATTATGGCATTCTACACGACTGACAATGATTGGTACCAAATTAGATTAGAGACTTCAGTTGTTCACTATTATCATAACTGGTTTATCCAACTTCCAACTTATCAGCTCTCCTCTTTAACTGGGATAAATATAAAAATCATACCAATGCCCTTATCAGCTAATACTATTAACTAGTTTGATCATGTTTCAATGTTACAATATTCAGAGATAGTTAATAGTTGTTTCCGGAGAAAATGATAAACCAATGAAGCTAAAAATATATTTAATATGGAGTTTCAAGATCAATTGAAGGTTTCATAACTTCCTTTTATGATGATGTTAATTATGGTTTGTTAAAAAACTAAAACTATGGAGCCATACCCACCTGCATTCGAAGATGTTCCAGCCATACAGATATATAGGGGAAAGGAGGTGCGGAAATATGGTGTTGTTAAAAAGAAATCAGGAGGGAGAAAAATCCCATTAATACAAAGTAAATGTAAGTAATGAAAATTCATGTTGCATATATTTAATTAATGTTATATTATCTGACTACCATACTTTCGAAATTTCGTCCGAGTCATTTTGTTTAACAATATGCGCACCAGCAAATTCATTTAAAATTACAATTTAAACTATTTTCTTTTCTTGTGAGTCAATACTTTCCAATGGGAAATTACTTTTTTGTGAAGTATGACACTTTTGGGACATAAATTAGATAATATTCATTATTCTGATATAGGATATTGCCATTATGATATGAACATAGTTTTCATACTGCTTTTGGGGCACAAACTTGTGTCAAATTTGTAGCCAGAGTTTGCTTATCTTCGTTACACTTTTTCTTTCCTCTTTTGTTCTTTTCTGTGAAATCTCATTATATCCAAACAGTTAAATTTCTTCTTACTCTTCTTACTACTAATTTTACTCTAATAGCCCCAGTGAATTAATCTGAAATGTTAAAGTTGGTTTAAAGCAGGAGTTATCAACTTTTATTCTCTATTCAATTTTCAAAATCGAAATTTATTCTCCAATCTTCATTTCAACAAATATAAATAATAGCCCAAGGGGGAATTCTGTCACTGAAAGAAAGAATTTACCCTTAGTTGAGACCTCATATAAAGGAAGTCAACTTTAGTTTAGTAGCCTTCATTTTACCAGATGTGTATACCAAGCATAAATTGAAAGCAGCAGATACATACTTTTGTATTGTGTAAATTCGCATTCATTTTTTTCAGATGAAACACGTTTTGTGATTATCAGCAGAGGTTGGGTTTATTATTACAAAGACAAATCATCTGATAAGCCACAAGGAAAGTTTTCGCTTCAAGGATTCAGCAATACGTAATTATATTTTTCGATTCACATATTATTATTGTATTTACATGGCCTGAAAAAAGGCAATATAGAAATTGTTGTAGAACCTTATAGAAAATAAATTTACCAATATCTGATTGAGAACTATTTCTATTTGACCAGAATTATTTTTGGTGGATTCTTGTCAAAAGTGAATAGGACTTTAGGAACAAATGAAGCATTCTGTTTATTCTGTGTAATTGCCTGTTTTTGAGTTGTTGTAGAGAAGACTCATAGTCATGGCAGTCAAAATTGTCAAATTGTCATCGCAGTCAATTTTTTTCAAAATTGTTATCATATTCCCAATGTCTAATTTCTTTGTGTAAGTTTTGTTTGTGCTCTGAGAAAGATTGTGAGTACATTTAGACAAGTTGCAAGCACCACGACCATATGGCGTGTTTTGCAACTCGCGTTGTGGCCATGTCATTACATGGACTTGAATGATTGGAATGTTTTTAAAAAAACTAGATCGCTCACAATTTATTTCTTCAATTATTTTTTCACGGGGAGGGGGAGTCACAAGCTTAGAAAAAATAATACAGACCATTATAATACATATAAAATTACAACTAAGTACAGCCAAATTTTGTCAAATCGAACTTTTGCAATTCGGAAGCCTATTTTGGCCAGATGTTTGCATTTAAATGATTTATTAATATGATGCCCTATATTTACCCCAATGAATTTCATAAATTTTATGTACACAAAAGAGCGGTGTATTTCCATGGGAGCGGCTCCATGGTTTCTTGATATCAATCTAATGATGATCTTTTAGCCTTCATGAACTATTTTCGTGATCAGTTCTCCATCATAAGCAATGAATGTGTTACATTGTCAACTATATCAACAAAAGAGTGAAACTAATATGTGTAGTTATTAATGGTTATTCAAGTAGTTCGAATGAATGAAGGTAAATGGAATTAATAAATTCTCAAACATGGGTCATACCTATATTTAATCACATTTGAGTCGATATGCAAATTTGTTTAATGTGTGCTGGTTAAAATTTGATCAACACTTGTTTTTATTTGGAGAAAAAAATTAGGATAATGATAATTGACATTTTAAAGAGAAGTAGTGAAACCGGGTGTGTTTGAGGTTTCGTGGTTTGTTTTTAAATCAAAATGCTGTTTACAAATACTTGTGTTATCAAATGTCAAAATATTGATTATGTTGACAAATAAAAAGACTTTATTATGTATTAAATTAATGTGTATTTTGAATATGATGGTGGAAACTAGGATCGTACTTTCAAAATTGTTCAACTTAACATCAAAATTTTATATTTTAATATCTCTATAATATGACCTGTACAGTTTGTTAAGACGACTTACCTGTTGAACGGAAGGATGATCATGTGATCTTAAATTTTTCGAATCACCCAAAATTATCAGAGCATTGCTGTTTTACCCATCATGATTAATTTATCAAAGAAATTTGAGATAAACCAGCAGCTGTTTAATCACGAGGCTAAAACAATTTTGGGTACACCACTCTACTCGCAACTCAATGAAGTACTCTAGATTTTCTATTTTAAGCATAGCAAAAAGTCATGAAATATTATACTTCAGGAAGATCACACACAGAACATATTTCAAAAAATAGTAGCAATAGCATATGTAATATTAAAATTTTTTGCTTCTGTGAAATATTATAACAATCTTGGCAAATACTTGATATGTTTTTTATAGCCTTTGGTATGTCTGTGGTCATGTGCAACCTTACTTTTGACTTTTATATGAGTTTTCTTCATTACTGTCCATTTTCATTGTGAGTGTGAAATTGCCTTGAGTAAATATTAATAAAAATTGACTAGGGCCTACTTGTATTTCTATTCCTATAACATGACGAAGCCACTTTCGTTTCAATTTCTGTAATATTACATGGGAATTTCTGGGTGCTTTATGCTTTATTATACAAAAATCCCTCACAAGAAGAATCAGTTGCTATATGAGTAAGACCAGATTTATTACATCAAAGTTAGTGGGTTATTAACATTTATCATTTTATCTTGCATTTATATAATCAACACATTTTGTATATCAATGCTTATGTGTTTGTTCAAGTAATATTCTTTATTTACATTAAAGTATCACAAATTCATGGTCACGCTCTTGTTATGCGCCAGTGAAGTGCGTCTGTCACATGACACAGTATAATAAAAGACTTTACAACTATAACCTGCGAACTTTCAACACTGCTTTTATTTGGTTTGCAAATACTTTCAGTAAACAAGAAACCAGGGTGTAGCTATTTTGAGGTCAGGGTTTAACCTATTTTAATTTTCAGAGTCATCAATGCAGAGGAAGAACAGTCAAGTATGCCCTTTGTATTCAAAATATACAGCAAGAAAGCAAATGAAAGAACATGGTTCTTTTCTACAGGTATAAATGACTAAAAAATTTATTTTTCATTGCAAATTTGTAATTTCTTATTACACTACAAAAATGGTCACATTAGTAAATGACTGTGTAGTAATGCACATATAATTTAAATTGAAACATATAACTTTAACATTCATTCTGAATATGTTCTGAGAAGTGTAAATGTTAACAATGAGATTGCCATGGAATAATGAATGCACTTTTATCAGAGAATTTTATAATTACCTAATTATTACTATTACTTTTTCGCCATCGACTCAAAAGTGTAGTGTACTTTGCAAAATTTGTCATTTTATTTCCACTGCGCAACTTAATTCCCTATCGCCATAGACGGTGATCACAGGTCGAAAATGAAGTCATAATAATTGTAACGTAATATGCAGTTTCGTTCTCACACGTAGACTTTGGTTTTCAAAAAAATTATGAATGGCAGGAAGTGATACTCTTTAATCTTTGACTCTTCGAGGAGTCATGTCTTTTGAATTCTATTCTATGTGAGCCAAAATATATGAGAATGCAGTTTTATAAGATGGGAAACTCCAGATTTATATGTATTATATTATTGACGCTTAAGCTTTCAATAAGTCTGTAACGACTTCCTCCACCGTCATTTTGATACTGAAACAAATAACTTGTTAACTATTCCAATACCGGACATGGACTAGTAACTGGACAAGAGGCCGGTTTGCCCTATGATTTAGTCGTCTATTCAGCAGGGATAAATATGAAATTCTTATCCTATTATAGACATAATGAATGATACATGCGCTTATTAATATCAAACTTATACTTACATATAGGTAAAATGCTTAATATCGACAGTGACACTATGTTGAATGATAAGTGGTTATATCTAAGAAGAAACACAATCATTTTAGGAGTGAAGATAATGAATGTCGTATTGTTATAGTTCCTCTTTGTTCATTTGTATTAATGTCTTATTACTCATTATCATAACCTATTTTGTTTGACTGTTATTCAACTTATTTTAATATGTCCAGAAAACACCTCAGACATGCATGAATGGATGGAAGCTTTTCGTCTAGAGATTGAACAATATAATGTTAAAGGTATGTTCCTATTTGCATATTTTAGGGAATTTATCATTTTGTTCAAATGGATGTATATAAAATACGGTAGGTATCAGTCTGCAATAGAATTTTATTATTTAATCTAGTGTAGTTGTTCCCAAAGTTGATTGACCGGAGGCCAAAATTAGGGGCAGAGAAATATTCATATGTGGAGAGAGGGGAGCGCCCGCAAGGGGCTGGTGACGGTATCGTTACGTATAATTAATTACCGGTATGATTGAATTGTTACAAATATACATGTGCATCAACTGTGATAATGACGTATCAATTGGCGGTGTCTAGAACGCAAAAAGGTGAAAACAGAGTGGTATACTATTTTCACTCAAGTTCTGCGAGCCATAATACATCGTTACACAGGCCGTAATTGGCCCGCTGGCCACGGTTTGGGAAACACTGATCTAGTCAATGCTCGATCGCAGATCTACATTGCTTGTAAATTGCTATTATAAGTTGTAACTATTTTGTATTTAACAAATTACAACTAGTATTATTTCTGAATGTATAAAGGCAGATGGTTGGAAGCTTCAGCAAGTCTTAATTTTGACAATTATCCAAGTTCGATATTGATCCACTTTATTAGGGTTAATGATAGTGCAGACGTACATTTTGAAAGGTTATTAAGGCATCGCTTTAAATTTAGAAATTATGTGATTCATTCAGGAATGACTTAACAATTTCTATTTCACTGTGTAAATACATAGTTGATGCTATTTTTGACTCATCATTTTTATAATATTGTCCAAGATTTTCACAAGAACTATGATGAACCTTAGCAACTATAGCAAGTTTGCCTTACAATGTTTCATACGCGGCGAAATTAATTAACTGGATCTACGGCGTAGACAGGAATTTTCAAAGGGGGGGTCTAAAAACGCAAGTTTTCAAGAGTCTTGAGGGTCTAAAAAGCGTTCGGGGCTGTGGCGCCGGAGAGATTTCACAATGGAATTCCTTTTTCCTGTTTAAAAAATTTTGATCAGACTCCCTAAGTAAGAATTTCATTCCAAGCTCGGTTAAAATCAAATTTTGATAAAAAAAACTATGGCGTGTGTAAGCCTTTTCACTAGACTGCTAAGAACGCTTGTCGCCTAGTTTTTAGCTTTTCCAAATAAATTCAAATGAAATCTTGACAGTGATAATTCTGATATACAATTCTTCTTTATTATATCAGAATGGCGAGCATCCTTTTTCTGGATTATGTTTTCAGAATATTATCTATTATTACCTATTTTTTGTTTTAATAAAAATTATTTATGTATTGCAGGCTTCTCAGATATTCGTCATAGTCAATCATGTCCTAATCCTATAAAAAAATTACATCCTCATCTGGAGGCAAGCAATGGCAGATCACATAGTGTCCATGACAATGCTGTTCCATTGTGAGTATCTATTATATATTGTTCATAGATATGAAAATCCACATCAACATTTCATATCATATTCACAAACTTCGAAACAATGTAAATTGTTGGAGGTGTTCTGCAAACATTGCTTTAAAAAGGAAGTATAGTTGCTACATTTAGTATTTATTTTCCAGTGTTAAACGACTCATGGAGTAGTTATTAAGATAAATGTATACAATACAGCCACACACTTACCAGTCAATCATTGCTTACGTGGCTAATAATAACTCCTGATTGATTGACTCAGTTATCTAGCGAGTTTCTGAGTTCACCATTTTTTGTGATAATGCTGTTCATTAAATGAAAGATTATGGAGCACTTGGACAATGTTTGTGCTGAAGCTTTTCGTACATGTCTTTCATTGTCAGACCTCAACTTTTAAATTTATAGTTCACTTCATGTTAAATATAACAGTTTTATATTATTTACCTTACAATTCAGGTTCTTAATGTTTTTGCTGCAATAAATCTAGATTATATACTACATTCTCGAAATTAGACTTTGTTTTGTCACCTGAATGCAACAGCCATTTCCTCACTGATTACCATATTTTTTTATGCATAAAACGCACATCCAATCTGAATTTCATTTAAAAAATTGGGGCTACATATTGGGTATTATTGTAAGAAAATGTCAAAATGCATTGATCAATATGTTATGATACTTTTCACATACATCAGTCATATTTCCAATAACAAAGCCCGTTGCAACCATATTGTGGTAATTTTGGAAAAAAGCATACTCATGAGGAATAAAGTATTCTGCACAAAAAAATCCTATTATCGTTAAAAAAGGCGGCAAACCATGCTGAACAACTCATTAGTCACTGTAATCTATGCCTCACTTTCTTCTTTGTAGTATTAAAATAATAATATTTGACCCATTCTGTAGAAAAGATTGTCCATACGTGGCTTAGTTTGTCTATATTTTGCATATTTTCATCACCTTCTGTTGGAGATTCCATAGCTGATAATGGTAGTCATTTAATAGTTTGATGGGATTTGCGATTTATCATAGTCATAACATTTGAAACAATTTCATTGCACTGCTGTGCTGACTTTTTTTATTTGTTTTGCTTCACTTGCGGACTTACTAAAACAATATTTCAGCCCACAGAGACTTAAACAACAACCGCATAGCAATGTGTCATCATGCACCAATGTAACAATTACAAGTGGGATTGGTAGTTCTACATCCTCTATGACGGATCAACCAGATGATCTATATGAACCGTTTGAACCCAGTGGTAATAATTTAAATTTATCATTATTCCATGTTTTAATCAACATTGAATTTTTGTTCATTATCTGCTTGCGTTACCTGGGTTGAAATTTCATTTCTGCTAGATGTGATCGGTGAGATAGCTGAATAGTAAATAATTATGTATTAAAATTACTTTATTTTCTATCAACTTTATTTATTCATTCTCAATACCCCAAATGCTGATTACTGGTCATTAAAGTTCTAATAAATTGGCCAATTTAGACATAATAAAACTGCAACATCTAGTTGTTTTTACGTGTTACTCTACATAATATACTCATTGCAGAATTAACTCATTTCTAGTTAAAAAAAATGCATGCTGCTTGTTTTTTGTTTAGTTATATTTCTTTATTTTTTTTGATGCTTCAATATTTTTGTTGTAAGTTAATGATTTATTAATGATTCTGGTTCAAAGGATCTGACGAATGGGATTCTGACCTAGATTCTGACTATGAAACCCCCAACTTCGTGTCTACATCAACAGCACACCATGGCAATATAGCTCAACACTCGGCTATGATTCATTCTCCTACTCTCACACCAAAATTTCAAAGCCCCACTTCAAGTGTCCCACATTTTACGCATACTAATAGGAATATCAGAAGTTATAGTCATACATCACCTCCGACTGAGAGAAGCCACGAGCCAATTCACTTTCCACAAAAAAGTCCAATGATCTCTCCAAAACATTCTTTTCCTCGGCCTCATTCAGTTGCTGTGGGAGAATTCGGTTTTAATTCATTGGCTGATGAATTGAATAAAAAAATGTTTCCTGGCAGAGTTTCAAGTCAATTGCAGCCTCCATCTCGTCCTATTTCTAACATACCAAAATATAGTCCCCCAACTCATAGTCCTCCAGCACTGCGCCAACGCGCTGATACCAAACAAAACTGGACACCCAGAGTAACTGACATGCAGAAATCAAGTATTCTCCCATCTCGCTTTTCCCCCAAAGAAAACCTTCCAATTCATTCTTCAACAAATCCACATCACAATCGAATGAGATCTGAAGGTGTGTATGATTTGTATTGTCCTCTTGGTTCCAAACACCATGGCCCAATTTAGCGAATTTCAATGCAATTAAATGAATATGATCAATGGAGATATAAAAATACATTTTTTCTAATTTTGTTTGAGATTATATGTCTAATTTTATATATAACATAATTTATCTCAGGAGGCATTCAAATTTATTTTAAAAGCTCTACTACAATGCACCACCTCCATGGTGCTTTTGCAAAATTGAGTTCAACCAAAATAATATCAATACTTACCTCATTGTTATTCATTTCTTAAAGGAGTGGGTGGCTACGGGAAACGGCAAAATTTATCACCTGAAGTCAAACGTCATTCTATGCCATGTTTAACAATCCAAGCACAACTCAATGAGCAACTTTCAGCTAAGCTTGGTTAGATACTATTATTAGTCTCCTCTTCTCTTTTATATAAATTCTTAAATTTACAGTGATTTAGGAAAACATTGTGCTCAATTTATGGGAATTTTTTGTTTATTTTGAGAGTAAACTTCTTGTTTTTATATAAAGTATTTTGGCATTGGTTTTGTGCATGATTTCATTGCATGCTTTATGTGATATTATTTGTTTGCTTGTGATTATTTTGTTGTTTATTTTGAAATAATCAGGTACAGATCTTAAGGCTCCTCAACCTGGTCCCAAGCCTCAAAGACCAAAGAGTATAGCAAATACAGGTTGTTTGTTCTCTTTATTTATTGTTTAATTACCCAAGATCAGGCGAAGATGAGAAGGAAGAACTGACCTTTTGCCATATTTCTTAGGCCTACATGTTTACAACTTTAAAGGCATAAAGTGCACAATAACCATCACAAAATTGAGTTTTATTTACAAGCACCATTTTTTTCGTGTAATTGCTCCACAAGGTTTTTTCCTTGATAATTTGGCGTCGCACGAGCAAAGTTTGGGAACCGCTGTCAAAGGAAATCTAGGGTTGTATATTTTTAAGAGCAATGGTACTCAATTATTTTTGCAGAATTCCACCAGCACCAGTAAATGCGTTTTTCTTTTCAATTTTAGCTGCTCATAAAAATTGTGCATAAAATTGAAGCCAGTTTCCACTTTATCCAATTTCAGTGCAAAATTCTGTGGATATTCTTATAAACATAGACGCTAGTAATTATAATTGGATGTATCTATTATTGTTTTCAGCCAATGAAGACAATTTTCAACGACCAGGTGGATACAGACCGTTGCAATCACCTTCCACCAAGCCTCTCCCTCCACTTCCAGAACCCCAAGATGAAAGGAACAGTTTCACTGAGTTTCATGAAAATCCTATAGATTGGCCAGATAGGGCGCCTCCATTACCACCTGAGAATAAACGCAGTGGCTGGCCTGTTGTTACAAGCCCAAAAGATAATGAATTTTCAGGACAACAATATCGACCACATGATTTTAATAATGCCCATGGTCCTCCATTTGCTATAGATAAAACATCCCACTTATCGCCTAATAAAACATCCCACCTCTCGCCTATGTCGCCTCCAAAACAGTTTTATTCCCCTCCTCCTCAGCCAGGTACAATATTCCCAATGCCACCTGCTCTTCCTAGTAAGCCTAATAATAAATTTTTGTACAATAACACATCTCTTTCGACTGGCAATCAACCAGCATCTGAACAATATGATGATAATCTTTTGCCAGAGCCTGAGGGACCTTATGATATTCCATTAGAAGATGATCCTGATCAGTCATATGAGTCTCCATACTCAGATTCTGACGCCATCACAGAAATAGTTTATCAAGATGAAGAAGTTGGACCAATGTCCCAGGATCGTCCTGGAATATCACCCAAGCCTGTGCCAAATAGTCCTGGTACAGCTGTGTTCAGGGGTCCTATTGTTCCAAAGGTTCCTGCATTGAAACCAAAAGTTCCGATCGGAAAACCATCCTCTGCTTCAATTGAGAGTAAAAGCACTGTCATGTCTACATCCAACAAACCAGATCAAAATCCAGTCAATTCTTGGAAGTCAAATCCGCACTTTCCAACATCAACAACGAATAGCGGACAAAAAACTACATTAGATAATGCTGATGGTAACAAACCAGCATGGTTACAAACCAAACTCAAGCCAACACAGGCTGATGCACCCACAAAGGTAACGCCTGCTTGGCAAAAACAGGAACCAGTTAAAGCTACATTTAATCCTCGGTCTCCACCAAAAACATTTTTGTCGCAACAAAAGCAAGCCAATAATTCTAAATGGAACCACCATTCATATGAACCAAATTCAAAGTCAACAGATAATAAGGGAATTCCACCACCTATGCCTAAGACACCCAAACCTAATTTAACACCAAAGCTCAAGGATTTTTCACATGGTGTAAGTAACAAACCCCCACCACCAATAAAACCAAAACCAGATACTAAACAAGTGTCCGGTGTTGCAGCAATGCGTGAAAGATTCAATCAGTGAATGCACATATTGTATTTGAAACTTGTGCTCTTTTTTTTACCTTATTCGACCTTTTTCCATTCATCATATTATTGCTTGTGCTATTTGCTTCTATTGGTGATTGAAAATCATGCGATGTTTCAGGAATCATGTTTATTAAATTTACATTGTTTATATATTGTACAAGAGGTAGCTGAGTATAAGCCAAACGCAATTGATATAAATGGAAAAATTTTATTATAAATATTATTATCTTCCATAGACTTCATATTGTTTGTACGACATGACATGAATATCGATTGTGTTTTCCATCTCTTAACATGGGATATAACAATTCAAAATCACAATCAATGTCTCTGTGTTAAATTTTTTCTATATGTGCCCCTTCTCGTCATTCTTAAATACAAATTTTTATCATTTTTTCTGATATAAGTTCCATGTTTCTAGATCAATCTTTTTCTGTGAAATCTTCTCTGGTTTCCAACTTTGGGCATCTAATGCATCATCAATTTAATATTTCACTGTCAACATTTCCTCATGAAAAATCAACTATATTATAGTTCTAATTGCCATACAATGTGGCAGGTGTTCATTCCCATGATTTGGGTGTCTAATACTCCAGCTCATGACATATAATGTCAAAATTAGGATTATTTTTTTGATTCATTCTCTGTAAGTAGTTTACCATACTTTTATTTCTCACTAACTCTGTTTTTGTACATGTAGTCAATTACTAAATTTCGTATGGCCACTGATAAAAATATGTGAGCGCTTATTTAGTATTGTCATATTCTTGTGATCTGTAGCATACTGGCATGAAGTATTTTCTTTTTTGCAATTTAGTTTATATACAGTTGAGGTGATTTTTTTTGTTTCTATTGTTTAACTCTTCAACACATATATATAAAAAATAAATTGTCAAGTATATTCTCCAGTCGCTTGCCACAAAGAAGCCTATGTTTTCATACTTTGTTCATAGAGATGTAATATTTAAATTAATAGTGAATATTTGTAATTATTATGCAGTCTAACAGAGCACTTTATATACTCTAAGAAGTTTTGCACTGATTTCGACAATATTATTTTAAATTTAGATAATGCACAGATTTGAATTTGTAGTGCCTTAATTTAAATGCATGCCACTCTTCTTCAGCTACATTATCCTGAATGATAATGCTTTTAACTTTTGCCCAATTGAATTGTCCTATTGGATACTATGCATCCTCTTATAATGTATAATATAGCATTTACAGTATGCACCGCTACTACAATGTATTTTAATTGCGACTAATTTTTCAGCCTTGCAATACAAAAATTATTAATTTCACTGCTGTGGCGTTTTGGTGGTAGGAATTTGCCGTTAGAGAACTCAAATGTGTGAATATATTATCGTCAAGGATGGGGATAACGGGCCTTACTTTGGGCATGTGTGGTGTATAATGTATAAAGGGACAGTGGACAGGGTCCATTGGTTCCATAGACCAAAGCCTATAACCAGGGTTGCCATACCGTGCTTATTTCTAAGATTTGTGCTTATTTTCTAGCCCGCGTCTTATAAAGTAACGATGTACTTATTTCTAAGTAAAGTGCTTATTTTTGAGTCGCGTGCTTATTTGGTCTTAGAAACGTGGATGACCAATACTTGTTTTGCGTACAAAGCTTGCGTGGAAACGAAGGACGAACTTTTTCTGTCAACGGTGGGGTTTGCGGTATTTCCAGACAAACTGTGACACACACAATAAATAGTTGCTGCTAGTTTTTAGGAATACTGTTTTCAGGGACAAACTGCAATTTAGAGTAAGCGTAACCATGAGTTCTGTTTCGAACATGAAAAGAAATTTTCTATTAACTACTGCTATTGCGACATCGATATCGGTGCCCACAATACTACCATAAAAACACAAGAAGCATTGCGGAAAACCAAAGTATGAGGACTTTAGATTAGAGGTCGGCCACCTGCGGGCCATATCCGGCACACGGAGTAAAATAATCCCGCCCACAGTGCTTCACTTAAACCTACGGATCGTTATTCTTGTTCTTCATTAATAATTCGTTTTCCATTCTTTATGAAAAAAATCGCTTTTTCGATTACTCAACCAAAATGAAATTTGCCTTGCGAAGAACTAGGATTAGTGATAGACATTTAGAACATTTTGATTTTATCTAGTGTGTCACATAGTGTCGCATTTAATCGTAAATATGTACTACTGTAGCAAGTACATAAGGATAGTTACATACGTCAGCATTTCAGGAATCAAGCAACCAACCAAACTGCAGTCTTTGGCGGTATGTCAATTTATTAAGCAGTCAAGAAGGCCAGAACACGGTAGATTTTCGACTCAAAACGAGGAATCTGGACCAGGACCTCCTACGATCAGACAGCACTAACTCAACTTCAACTCTTCAAGTTTAACGCCCGAGTTCACGCTCGTGTATTTTTATTTTCCATGCATCAACGCCCAAATTCTTTGAATTTGTGTCTCATTATCAACCTATATATTACAACTATATGTTTTGTGTGTCAACCGGATCAAGAGATATGGACTTCAGCAAATCAATCCATCTCAGAGAAATTAGAAATTACCAGGACAACTTCGTATTATTACTGGATTTTCAAATGTGTTTATCGACAAAGCAAGCTACGTAGAAAAAAAAACATTGATAATAAATACGCAAGCCGATTTTTTTTACACCAAGAAGCAGCATTTAGCGACCTATTGTTTGACGAACGTACGAACCAACATCTACTTTATTCTCTCAAGTCGATCACCATCTATTTCTCTATTTCAACATCACTGGAAAGCAAGACGAATACCAATACTCATGGCCCAATGAAAAGTCTGGCCAAATCAACAACATCGCGATCTTAACTTCAACTTTAACCTTCAATCACATGACACGAAAACTTCACTCTCCCCTAGCTGATTTAAGCCAATGCTCCCCCAATTCCGGGTTTTGCCGGAAAGGTGCGTTTACATTTGTCTGGAACGTTGATGATACGAAAGTTTGCACGGCCGTCGACTCTCCGAAATTCAACGCAACCACACTCTTGTTACATTTCAATTCCTCGGGCAATCTTTATCGATTGGAACTACTGAGAGTTGGACAAAGCTTTCACAGTTTCGAAACTTGCTCTCAACGAACGAAATTTTAACGTCAACATTATTCTTCAAATCAACTATTACGCTCATTATTTTACAAAACAGAAAGAAGTCGATTGTCCAAACGCAATGGCTTATCGAAGATTTCGTGAAAATCTGTAGATTTCACCGCAAAAGATCCTTCAACCGGAGGTATCTCAATCAAATTGGTTTTCCTGTGTCGTTGCATTAGTTGGTCATCAGCGACTTTGATACAGAATTAAATACACCAATACATGTCAAATTTTACGACATATTATTCAATCAGAAATCGTTATTAGCTAGTCTTACAAAATTTAAAAATTAGCAAACTAATTTTTTTTATTGTCGGGGGGAATTGTGTAGCAAGTACATAAGGATAGTTACTGTGTATTTTAATATTTTCACCACTTATTGTTAGTAGTGCATGTTATTTGCCTGAAACAAGGTCGTTGTCCCAATTCATTTCCTTTATGATATATTTTTCTCGCTCAGTGTAGCTTGTCTTTGCCGTTCTTTGTTAGTTAGAAATTTGGTTTCATCACATATACTTGCTTTAAGGTTTCAAGTGTAATTCGTTATTTGGATCAATTCGATTGTGCAACTTTACAATATAACAATTGGCATTCAATACATTGTGTGCTTTTTGACCTCTGAAGGAGTCAAGATCGGAGTTACACTCTGTTAATGTGTGTCCAATAACACGGGAGTGTGGACACGCAGATAGGGTCGAATCTTTGTTGCCCTATACTACTACGATTAAATGTTATTTGTAAATATTTTGTATAATAAGACGACTTGAGCCCACGAGTTGTCGCAGTGTTCGCTCGCTCTTAAAGTCCGAAATTTGAATTTCTAATCTGTATAAATAATGTGGTTCATCAGCCACCCGTTCAGTTTTTAACTTTCTTGAAAAAATAAGTGCAGCACGCCAAGATTCGTAACACTTGGTTTTGGCCCGGGAGCGACAAGAGTTGCCGACCCTTGTCTTAGAGATTGCTGTGGCAGTAACTCCGTGTCTTTCCATAGCTCTTTGCAATTTTGGAGATGCGTACAACCATGTTTGAAGCGACTTCTAATGATAAAAAGTGGGAGACTCGTGTATGATCTCCTTTTCATTCTTATTCTGCGTTGTCTGCCGTTGTTAAGTCCCCTCCCCTTGAAAAAGTAACATTTTGACGGCCGTGCTTATTTTTGGCTCTGGGTAGATGGCAACACTGCCTATAACACAGTATAATAATAAGTATATACAGGTCCTTAATTAGGAACTTGAAGCATTTAAGGCCACGACGGTGCCACTATCCATGTTGCCTTACCACCACGGTGTCTGTTGGCACCATGGTCCGATGAGGATATATATTTTCACTGCGTTGCCGAGAGGGAAGATTTGGCGGTATAACAATAGCTCTTAACGCTTCATGGGTCTCTTGCAACCATTCTATCAGGACTGATTTTGCTTTTTAGTTCGGGGTTCAGGACCTTGCTTTGAGCAAAAGTATACGGCAGGGCTACTCAACTATTTTTACCAAAGGTCCGTTTACGTAACTTCAAAATTACTGGGGTCCGGACATTACAGAAAATTTATTTCATCAAATAAACGAAACTTCAAATTCAATATTAAATTAAATACAAGAGCAATGAATGGCTCGCAAATATGGACACAAATATCGCACATCGGTACCAGTACAACAAACTGTACAGCTGTGTATTTAAATTGTATCAAAATCATTTAAAACTATAAAACGATGCTTATGCTGCTAAAATAAACAAGCAAACGCGGTCCAAATTTTATGGTCGAAAGGTCCGGATTCGGACCGCGGTCCACCAGTTGAGTAGCCCTGGTATACGGTACTCTTTCACCAATGTTACCGCTACTTGGCAATAGGGAGCGTAGTATGCTAGCAGTTGGTGAGTGTTTTGTTCGCGGTTCAGTCTGTCTCTACCGTACTCACTTTCTGTCTCGTTACCGGTACAGCAACGTTTTTTTTAAAGTCCGCCAAAGGTATTGTACAAACTGCTGAGTTTGTGAAGCATATCGGTAAAGTCTGACGGTACCGGTACCGCTGCACTTCTGGCTTAAATCTTCCATCTTATATACATTCTGTACGTTTTAAACCTTATCTAAGGTTTTGATCGCTCTCCTGATTTCATAATCAGTTTTTATTTATTTATTTTTACCATTCATTTTATTGTTTTGCTGATTATGGAGTCGAAATAAACTTATTATTATTATTATCTGAATTCTGTTATGTTACCGTACCGGTAAGTTATATAGAGCATACCGTATCGAGACATTTGAGGGAGAGTTTATTCTGTTATTTGTTTTTTTGTCACCAGAAAACATGCGATAGTCCTGTAGTCGGGTCTCATGTACTTTCTTACCTGAATAACTTCTAGTGGGCGTGGCGTAACAATTTTTGGATATATGATTCCTGACCCCTACCTGATGACATCATCCAAAAATTACGTCACTGCGACGTCACAATAACGAAATACAGCTTGCCAAAGTATAGTGACGGTCACCCGTAATGGCGCCTACGAGTATGTCAACAAACTCAATACGTCAGCGACCTCTCTCTTATCGGGGTCGTTGTACAGAGCTCAAAATAAACAAGAATCACAAGCGACTAAATTGTCGCCAAGGAACGTTCACGATATCCCATTCTGACCAATTTCTGTCCAGCAATAGCTCATGTATCGTGCTACAATCTAAAATAGAGCGTTATACGATACAACTCTAACCAAGGCTTTAGACAAGCAGAAAATACATGTTATTTTACGCAATGGTTGAAGTTGGGTACCACACACATAAAGACTTATTATTTTATGTCCAGCAATAGCTCATGTATTGTGCTACGATCTATTAATAGGGTGATATACGATACCGCTCTGAGCTAGGCTTTAGACAAACAGAAAGAACATTTAATTCACGCAATGATTGAGGTTAGGTGCCGCAGACATGAAGACTTGTTATTTAATATCCAGAGACTGATCATGTATTGGGCCACATTTTATTAATAGGACGTGGAACGCTTTCACTCTATGCAAGGCTTTAGACAAGCAGAAACCGACATATTAATTTGCCTTAGCGCAATGGAGGTAGTTTCTTACCTCGATAACTTATACTTATCTTAGCGTAACAATTTTTGCATATATCATTCCTGACCCTCACCTGACTTCGTCATCCAAAAATTACGTCAATGCGATG